ACCAGTGGAGAAAAAGCCGAGGAACGCAATTGCTGGGTTGTATTGTGATTGTATATTTAGTTTGTCAAGAAACTGGCAAACTCTTTTCTACACAGGCTGTGCCGTTGCACCTGCCCACCAGCAAGCAGTGTGTGAGCGATCTAGTTTTTCTGCCTCCTTGCCAGCATTTTTTTGGTCATTTTTTTGGTATTTGCAGGTTGCTGCCTCCCCCATTTCCAAGTCTAGGATCTATGAGGCAAAAAGAAACCCCAGGGCACTCCACACTCTGTGGTTCCTCCATTCCCTAGCTGGTCTGTCTTCTCTCCGTGTGGCAGAGAGAAACCAGGGACTTCCCATTGTGCTTACTGGGAGGATGAGGAAACGTTCATATTCTTCATCTTTCTGGAAGCAGAAGTCATGTTCTCTCTAAAAGCCAGTCTAAGAAGAAAAAAAAAAATTTTCAAGGAAAGGGCTCAAGTTCAAGCTGAGGATTTCAATGTGAAAGGCCATAAAGCTCTCACTGAGGGGATTCCCAGGCAGACCCACCACCTCCTTGCATTGAACAGGAAGCACTTACCCTCAGTTGCTGTCCAAGACTTGAGACCCTGCTGCACCTGAGAAATCAGGGAGACAGAGGTGAGCGTCTTCAGAGACGTCAAGAGAAAATGCCACAGGGCAGAGGAGAGAGTTCTCCAACCGTGTGTCCTCCGTCCAGAGTGCTTTATGTTGGATAAAGAGGTACTGACGGTTACCCGCCTTCTTCAGAGGAGAGCCATTGTGTCAGGTTTTCCCTGCCAGCCACCTAGACCCACGGGGACCACCTGACCGTCTACCAATCCATCCCCCCTTCCGCTGACTCCACCGTGTTCCATTTTATTTCCAGGAAGTTCAGTAAATGTTCCCTGTGTATCTAGCCTGGGATCTCAGAGAAGAATCATGGCCTGTTGCTGCCTGCAGGAAACGCCCATCCGGGAGCTGGTGGTGGCCTAGAATCCGGCCCTTCCGCTCACTGTGAGGAACACTGGGAGCCCGTGGGCTGTGGGGCCAGAGGGGCTGGGCTGGGCCAGACCCAGCCTGGATGCCAGGGGCCTTCCAGAATAGATGCCTCCCCCGCCCCCACACATCCGTTTTGGAGGACTTCACCCATTGTCTAATTCACCCTCTGTGCCCTCATCTTCTTCATTTTTTCTCTTGCAATCTTCACAGCTTGAGGCATAAGTTACAGTTATTGGTTCATCTGTATCTTTGCTTGGTTTTTCCTTGCTCCCCTGCTCGAATGTCAGCTGACTGAGGACAGGGCTGTGTGCGTCTCATTTGCCTCTATATGCACACTGACTGTGGCCATGTGACACGCCTGGTAGACACTTGATAAACAGCTTCTTTCCTAATTCTTATGCTATCACAGGCAGAACCCAAACCTTGCAGGGATTCAAAAGTCCAGTCCAGTTTAAAAACTTCTATCTCGGGACACCTGGGTGGCTCAGTGGGTTAAGCGGCTGCCTTCAGCTCAGGTCATGATCCCGGGGTCCTGGGATCGAGCCCCGCATCGGGCTCCCTGCTCAGTGGGGAGTCTGCTTCTCCCTCTCCCTCTGCCTGCCTCTCCCCTTGCTTGTGCGCTGGCTCTCTCTCTCTCTCTCTGACAAGTAAATAAAATCTTTTAAAAAAATAAAAACTTCCATCTCATACCCATTTTTACATTCATCCCAGTTTTTTCTGGAATCAAGCTCTGACAGGACCTTGGACTTACCATCTGGAGGGGGTAGGATTTACCCTTTTACCTCTTCTCTGCCATCAGGCGTGTGCATTTGGGGAGGAGGGATCAAGAGAAAAGAGCTCTAGTCTTTTTGCTTTTTGGTGCTATTGTCCTCTCTTGACTCATTGCATTTTTTTGTGTTGTAGGCAACCACAGACGACTCTCTCTGGGGCAGAGATGGGGCTTTCTCTGCCTTAAATTTCCCTGAGGGAACTCTCTACTTTCTGCTGCTTTAGGGGCTCGTTGCCCTGCACCCCACCCTCGTGGTGAGGGACAGCAAGGCTGCTCCAGCCCAGAAACCTTCCACAGCACCTACTCCTTAAGTTGGCACTCAGCATGTCCTCAGTCCGGCTCAGGGTGGCATTTCTCTAACCACCCTAACTGTCATACCCCCTCCACCTTAGTGGAACTGAATAACCTCACTGCAAACCTACCCCAGCCCTATTCCCTCCTCATCTTCTCTACATTTTTCATGCTCTTATCTCTGGTTAAAATCCCTCCCCTACCTCCACCCATCTCCCTGTGACAGGCTCCATGGCCAAGGGCAAACACGGCTTCATCCTCGGGCCTTCCCTTCCCTTGACCCCAGTTGTACTCAGCCCTGGGGCACATTGGAATACCCCCGGGATTCTGCAGACCTCCAGAAATTCTCGTTTCATTGGTCTGAGTGGGGTCTGGGCAGGGGCATTGGCTTAAACACTGTCCAGGTGGTTCTAATATGCGGTCCAACTAAATGTCTGTGGGCCAGAGGGGCTCACTTGTCTTTTACTCAGAGGATGGTCCTCTCTCCCAGCCTTTGTCCACTATAGACTGGCAGCAATAGGAAGGCCTTGTGGAATGGCTAACATTCACTGAATGCTTACCAGGTGCTATGCCTTGTCCTGCGTCCTGTAGGTGGACTCTCCCATTTACTCCCCCCACGACTCTAAGGGGCGGGTGCTACTCATTACGCTCCTTCTATAGATGAGCCCACCGGTGCACGGATGCACGGATGTTAGGGAACATGCCCAGGACTGCACAGGTATGGTTGGTGGAGCAGGGAGTAAAGTCTCGGCTACTGGCCCCAGAGCCCGGGCTGACACCCTGTGGTCTCTCTGCAGTTTGGGCCCTAGTTCAAGTTTCCCCCTTAGCTACCAAGCACAGATGAGGAAATGAGTGAATGGAAATAACATTGTCCTAGGCCACACCATAAGTCAGACCCAGTGGGGCATTTCTCAGTTAGACTTATTCCTTATACCACTTTCATAATGGCTCATTTTCCAAAACACTGGTTTGATTATTTATGTAGTATTTTTTTATTTCAAATTTTATTTCAAATGTTCTTTGTACTCAGCTTCACCTAAGCAAAAATATCCATTGTACCATAGGTTTGATGCTGGGAATATTTTTCTAAAGCACACTGGAACAATAAATTTGTGTGTATACACACGCACCTGTGGGTACACCAGCACTCAGTTGCTATAAACAGAATTTTCAGCCATCCTTCTGCCTTAACAATGTGGATCTGAATTGTATCTTGAATTTTAAAAAAAAGTTCAATGCATATTAGAATCTGTTTTCATTTTTTTTAAGATTTTATTTATTTTTGACACAGAGAGAGAGTGTGTGTGTGTGTGTGTGTGTGCATGAGCGGGAGGGAGGGGCAGAGGGAGAGGGAGAAGCAGACGCCCCGCTGAGCAGGGATCCCAATGCGGGGCTCGATCCTAGGACCCTGAGATCATCACCTGAGCTGAGGGCAGATGCTTCACCGACTGAGCCACCCAGGCGCCCTGAGAACCTGTTTTTTAAAAGAGCCTCTCTTCCAACACAAAACAGGTTTTGCCTGGAATTAGCTAGAAAACCTAACAAGTTTGTTAAGGCCATGGCTTTTAGCTGCTTTTAATTTTACGAAGTTCCAGATCTTTTTATGAGGCATTTCGCAAGAAGCACCTCTCCATTTGGAAAGAGTGCCGGGGCTGAGGGAACCCTGCGGGATACATGTATCATTATTACCATTTCAAATATTCATCAAAATGTGTTTTTGTATTTTTATAGCCCTTCCACAAAAGCCCCATTTTTAATGCAGACTATTCTGGCCTGGCCTCTGGTGTTAGGCTAGTCTTGTGTACATAACCTACGTGCCAAGTGCATGCCGAGGAGAACAGAGGTATAGAAACTCAGAGAAAGGAATACATAGACGCTGTGGATGGCAAGACCCAGAAAGACGTCAGTGAAGAATGGATGGGTTTGAAGTAACCTGGCTTAGCCCAGGGTCACGGGCACAGACATGGGGAAAGGAGTACAGGTTTGGAATGCTTCCTACCCTCCTGCGTGAGTTAGAGGAGAACATCAGTCCCTGTATCACATCCCTTGCACCAATAAGCTCCCAGATCCCCAAAACTGAGTTATTATTTTAAAACATCATAGTTTTAGGACACCTGGAGTGGCTCAGTCAGTTGAGCATCTGACTCTTGATTTCAGCTCAGGTCACGATCTCGGGGTGGTGAGATCAAGCCCCACATCGGGCTCCACGCTCAGCACGCAGTCTGCTTGAGGAGTCTCTCTCTCCCTCTCCTTCTGCTCCTCCCCCCCTGCTTGTGCTCTCTCTGTCTTTAAAATGGGTAAATAACTCTTTAAAAAAAGTGCTTTTAAAAAAGTTGATATGAGGGGCATGCCTGGGTGGCTCAGTCGTTAGGCGTCTGCCTTTGGCTCAGGTCATGATACCGGGGTCCTGGGATCGAGCCCCGCATCGGGCTCCCTGCTCGGCGGGAAGCCTGCTTCTCCATCTCCCACTCCCCCTGCTTGTGTTCCCGCTCTTGCTAACTCTCTCTCTCTGTCAAATAAATAAAATCTTTAAAAAAAAAAAGTTGATATGGTTCTCACTGTGGGGATTGTGGGAAGTCAAATGGAGGCGTCTCTGAGGATAATGTGCAGATCATCAGACTAGGTGACCATAAAGTTGGGAAATATTGGCATCATACACAACCTCCTTGTAGAATTGGGAGAAAAGGGGTTTTGTTTGGGAGGCAACGTGCACTGCTATGTTTGTTACCCTCTGGCTCCAAACAATGTCCCTCCTAACTGACTGCAAATGCTGAATATGTTAGAAAGCAGAGGAGGGGAAGGAAGAGTGACCCTCATAAGCTCCTGATTGTTCTGCACACCCGTGGGCAGAGGAAGAATGGCTGGAATTAGAGGGTCAAGGAGAAAGGGGTGCGAAGCAAAAGTTATTACTGCGAGAGTCCACATTCAACCAGTGGCGACAGTGAAAACTCTGTTTTACACCTAGGACATAGTGGACAGTAAGGGGGAAGAAGGACACAGGACCCCCACTGTGAGTTGCTCTGTCCCCGGGGACCCGGAAGAGCTGGAGACTGCAAAGGAGGACCCCCAGACCACAGATACAACCGAGAATAATAACTCCATCATGAGCTTCTTTAAAACTCTGGTGAGTGGTTGTTGCCCCTTCTTTCCTCTTTCCTATTGCTCAAAAGTTGTGTTAATTCTGCAAATAATATATATTTGTTATCGTACTGGATGGGGGATCATGATGGTGCAGCTGGAACACTGGAGAAAGGGAAGAGATGTGCTTTGCAAGGGAATTGTGTCACATCGAGCGTTCAGTGAGGGAGCCCTCAGAGCTGGGAGCCATGGTATGAACATCAGGTGCCCCAACTGTGTGACGTGAGCTGTGTTGAGATGCCACTCTCCTGAAGTCCCATGTCTAATGGTCATTGATCATAAACATAATTGGAAAAAAGCTCCTTGAGTTGTTGACCTATCAAAGCAGTTTTGCCTTCAGATGGCAAATAAAACTGAAGAAATCTCTTTCTATCTTGTTACATCAAAATCTACTATGTTGATGGCATAGAAGCAGGGACCCAAGTCCTATAATGCTTGCTTGTCTCTGACTCCTCAAGGCAGTCACAGCCTGGCCCATGCCAGACCTGTGAGAGGGCTGAATGAATGAATCAATCAATGAATCAATGAATGCATAATCAAACAGACAGCTCCAAGTGTGTTTGGGTTCTTTCCATAGCCCAAGACTAGCCTCAAAAGGTAAAAACAAGTCAACAGAATGTGCCACAAACACCAAAGGGGTGTTTGTTGGGATTAGTGGTAGGAGTGATGGAAAGTCTGTGTCCTTCCAAGAGACGATTTTGAGGGTGGTCAGGCTCTTAGTGAATGTATAAGGTCTGATGTATTTCATTATAAAACATTAATATTTCAAACTCTTTTATACCTAGAAATTATCCAGAAGACCGTGGCTTTCTACTGAACTTGGTAGAATGCCTTTGTACTGAAAAGGACTTCTCATTACATTCTTTACCTGCAGAGTGAACTGCAACCCCCCCCAAAAAAAAGATGTCTCTATGAAATCATATCACCCTAAAGAGCTAGCTATGATTTTTAATATTTGGTTTTCTTAAACTTTTAAGGTTTCACCTAGCAAAGCTGAAACGAAAAAAGATCTGGAAGACACGGTAGGTAGTTTGAAGTACGTTCATGTTTGGGTTTGTGTATGGGGTTGGATTTGGATTTGTGTCTGCTGTTTTGTTTCTTGAATTGTGTATGTGTGTGTGTATATTTAGCAATTTAATAGTGCTGTTAAATTGTCTTTAAGGTGTTTTGTTTGTGTCAGTGGTATTTTGATGAAAATTTTAGTGGAAAGCTTGAAATATTTGCTAACTCTGGATAAACAATTTCACAATCACCAATTTCTTATATAAAATAAGAACAGAATACTACAACCATATATCATGTTAGTCTTTTTAATTGTGTGTGAAGAGACCCAGGGAATATAGGAATATAGTACAAATTAGCCACTGGAAATGAGAAAGAGGTGAGACACAATTTAAAGTAGAAGTAAACTGCTCTATTTTTGGTTTTTAAAAAATACATTCCGTGTTTTTCATATAATTTGGAAAAAATAAATCTCCACCACAAAGGCAATTGTTCAGTGAAATGAAATAGTCACCATTGGACGCTTGCCAAGGGAAGGAATGTTTAGAATTAGGATGCCCTAGAGAGCCTAAATTTTTTCACTGTCATCCTAGAGATCCAACCAATTCCCCTTAGAATAAATTTTATTTGGAACAACTACTTTCTAGAGATGTTTTCCTTTACACTTGACAGAACTGATTATCCCTAATGGAACACATGGTTTAACTTTCACGGGAATCCGTGAGGAAAGTTGAACTTGGTGACAGATAGGTGTCTTGCGTCCTTCTTTTGATAACTGAGAGTGCTTTGAAAGACACTGGGACCCAATAAAGGGCTTGGCCAGCCCAATACATCTGTTACCAATATTCAAAGGGGCCAGCTTGGGAAAAGAATCCTAGAATTTGTCTCAAGACCTGAATTTGAGCTCCAGGCCTGCTTTGTGGTAGCTATGTGACATGATCCAAACCTATCTGAATCCAAATCTCAACATCTGTGAAGTCGGGACAATAAAAATTCTGTCCCACCACCCCGGCCTTGAAGGAAGGTGTGACAGTGCCTGGTAAACCGTGGAACTCTTGATCGCTATTTCCGATCAAGAAATAGATCTTGCAAGATCTTGCATAATCACTGCAAGATGTATTGAATGCCATGATGACATTTGTAGTTATCGATTGCTTCTTCTAGAATGTTCTTCTTCCGTTAGAAACAAATATTTATCTCAGGTATCTACATGCATTTTCCTATAAAGTTAGTCATTTGCTATAAGGTAGCTAAGGTCAAGTTCAATGAATAGTTGGGTCCAAATGTTTCTCTTTTGATTCTGTGTCTTGCATTGTTTGAAGTCACACAGCACAATAGGCTATAAGCAGTGGGGTATGTGGGTGTGTTGTATGGCTTCCCAAGTGACCTGATGCGCTCATTCTCTTCAGCTGCTCATGCACCAAGGCGCCAGCTGCACGTACCTAGCTGATAAAATCTCCCCACCCTGCCCAGAGAGGTCAGGGTCACTGCTAGTGGAGCTGAGCCTCAGAAAAGGGTTTTGTGAATGTAGGTCATCTACGACACAAACGGACCTCTTTCCACAAACCTGTGTTTTTAACATCCTTTCTAGCAAAGTTCTTGGATTCTTGCTTTTGAAACATTTACACGGTTTGTCCATCTTCCCATTTGGCCTGGACAGTTTTGAGCACACTCCACACTCCACGCAAAATCCCCCGCCATTTGTAACTTGAGTCGACAATTCTGAATGGTTGTTGCTGGGCTGTTGCAGTTCCAATCTCCCCCAACTTTGGCTCAGTGGACGGGCGCACAGTAGACACTTCTCTTGCCTGGGAGATCTGCCCACCTAGAAGTCAGCTGAAATTTTTGCAGATACTGCTTCCCTGAAGTTTCTAATACTGAATAAAAAATGGGTTGGAGAAAGAAAGCCCTCCAGGCAGTGCTTGTCTTGACTCCAGGATGCAAAAATAAATTGTTTTCATGTATCTTTTCCTTTCCCATGAGACAAGAGTGTTTAGATCTTTAAAACGATCAAGTAGGGGCTGTGTTATCTTCTTTTTTTTAATCTGAATATTTTATATCATATAGACGGAGCTTCAATGTCCTGTCATTGTCTTTAGCAAATGGATTTGGGTTAATCTGGGTCATTTAAATAGGTCGCCCTGTTGAAAATCGACATGTACTCAAAATAGACTGGGAATCTACTGTGTCGCAAATTGTCTCTGAGAGTTTAAAAAAGAGAAACATTCACACTATGTGAATGTTGTGGTTGGGGGATGGGGGTGATATACCAGCAGTTAATGTCAAAGTGTTTCAATGCACTTAAAAACGACAGGGGGGAAAAAGGATTTTGTTTAAAAACAAAGTTCTAAGCTATGACTGCTATTGCCCAAAAGGCATCCAGAGCAGAAAGTGTCTGTGATGGCCAAGCTGGACAGAAGACCTGTGAGAACCAAGCTAAAGGCACCAAGAAAAAGCACCTGCATAACCCCAGGCTAGGATTCGCATTTAGAAAATTCTTTAGGCATAAGGTCTGTATCTTGTTAAATTAGAAAGAAAGAAAAAAAAAAGAGAACCCTGGTCTTCCCCACGTGTACATGTGGCTGTCCTGGGTCCCCTCAGCTCTGCTTCAGGGAAGACAGCCTTGTGTGGTTGGAATCATTACAGGGAATCAAAAATGACCTGAATCAAATTTCAATGACTCTCTTCTCCGTAATTATACATAAACATCTGACTAGTTTCTTCCTAGTGTGGACCAGGGTTCTGAAATTATCCTTCTAACTCAGTGTTTCCCAAATGTCGAAAGTATGCATACCATCATTTTTGTCAGATATAGTATTAGTTGGTTGATCTTTTTATATTAAAAAGGACTCATTTCCTATTTAAAGGTATCTCTAAAGAAAACTTTATATTACATGATACGTGGAAAACTCAAGTCATTTTTCATAAAGAGGTAACCATGAATATGGCTAATAGAAAAAATTGCATTCTAGCTACCTTGTTTGTGTCAAGCTACGAATCTAATGCCTTTCTAGCTTTATTAAAATGCAATTTGCCAGCAATAGAAAAAATGTTAAAGGTGTACCAGCATCAGATAAGCTTTCCCCCCGAATGTTCTTAAAAAGATTAGATGAGAGTTGGGGTGGGGGGAGGTATTTTCTCCATTTTAATGTTTTTTAGCATTTTATCTCTGCATGACCTAAAATTATCTGTGATACCAATGGTATGCTTCCTACGCTTTGGGAAATACTCTTCTAACCTCAAGAAAATAATTTTATCTTTCTGTGGTCTGTTCCATCCATTCTGAGTCTTAACTAAGCTCATACTGAACCCCGATAAAAATGCACGCACAAGAAAACAATGAATGAAGGCAGAGCAATTTCTATCTCCATGTCCTTGGGAAGTGAGGACAACATAGAAGTCAGTTGGGGAGATTTCTGTCTTTGAAAGTCTAAGAAGACACCAGTGTTTGTCTGAAACCAGCAGTTAAGATCCCTGAATTGGGCCAGCATGCTTGGACATTTGTTTAAAATATCCACCATTCTCCACTAAGTTGAATGGACTTATGAAAAAAAAAAAAAAAACAACCACCCCAGCTGGATGTTAGAGCCCCAGGATTGTGTATGCAAATAAAAAGCTCCATAGAAAGATTTCCTGGCTGAACCTTTATTTGCATAAGCAAACTGTATTAGGAAGCCGCCCTTGAATTTCCATACAGGCTTATTTTGTTTTGTAAAGCCAGTGGGGGGGGGTGGAGGGATAGAGATTGCATTTGGTTGGGGGGGGCTGGAGATTAAAAAGTGGTGTTACTGTATGTGGGAGACCATTTGGTAACTGCTAGTGAAGAGTGTCATAGACCTTGTGCAGAGAAATCCCGCTGAATTCCCACTTGGAGCTTCTGTGAGTCAGGGGCCTTCAAAGTTTACAAAGTGTACGACTTTCCCCCTCATAGCTGCATTTCAGATGGCATTCATTTCATGCACAGCTAAGTTTCATGCCTCCAGAGTCTCTTTCCTCCACAAAAAGGGGGCCACCCATGTTCCGTATTCCCAAGGTCTCCCCAGATCACTGGCCTCCACATCCTGCCACTGAGTTACATTTTGGGCAAAGATAGGATTTGGAGAAAATACTGGGAAGAAGAAGAAGAAGTGCCCCTTTCCGGACTTCTAAGGTTTTGCCTTTTTATGTAAAGGAAGAAGATAATTCTCAAATATTCTCAGTTCTCATTTATGCAGCAGTTTGGTAGAGCTTGGCTTTTACCTCCTTTTTCTTCACTTTATGATTCTGTCATCCAAAAAAATAGGAAAATAGGGCCATTAAAACGGACCAGACAGACTGTTGCCTGGGTAGAGGGGCTGTGCTGCTCATCCTCAATTTTGCTGTAACTTGGACAGAAAAGAGGAAATCCAAGCAAATTCAGGGAAAAAAAAAATCATCTTCTGGTTTTGCAATTCAAGAAAAAAAATGCAATGGCGACCAATGGGGATCAACTCCTAAATTCATTGTCTCTGTATCTCAATTTTTCTTCCTATACAAAGAATTTTCTTAAAAAAATTTTTTTTCTTAGTATAAAAAAGTGGGGAGTCCCAGAATTGATAAGTGAAATGAGCTTCTTGTTATAAATAGAGTGTCAGCTTTCCTTTGCTGAATTGGGATCTTTTTCTCTTGGCTTAATCACATGCTATGCTTCAGAATCAAACTGTTTCACATGTTCTTCAAACACTGAACATGACAACATGCACACAGGCAAGGCGTTGATCCAGGATTTTTTTTTTTTTTTTGCCATGCCCAGAAAGGCTCATTTTCTCACTCACGTTTTCCTGATGTCCACCCTCTCTGCAGGGCAGCTAAAATATTAGTAGCCAGCTCATGTGATTCCTAAGCTCTGCCTCATATTCATTGTTTTCCACTTCTTGGTATAATGTTTACATCTAACTAACCCCTCCCCTCTCCCATGCCCAAATGTGAAACAAGATGAACACTTATTAGGGAAGAAGGTGAAGTCATTAGATCTGCAAACTCCAAATCTAATATATTAGAATTTCCATGGGTAGGGTTGCCAGATAAAATACAAACACTCAGTTAAATTCAAATTTCAGATAAACAGCAAATAATTGTTTAGTATAAATATAAATATGCCCCAGGCAGTTCTGGGGATATACATTCTTAGGCTGAGAAATTATTCTTCGTTGATCTGAAATTCAGATTAACAGGGTATCTTATATTCTTATTATTGAGAGTATTGGCTAAATCTGGGAACCCTGTGAGGTTGACTCCAAAAAATACAGAGTCGTTGTAATCTCTTCCATAATGCAGACAAAGAGTATTAATATTCAGTTGATGCTGGCAGAACACCATCTGGGGCACTTTGGGAAGTAAAGAGATGGATGGGCAGGGAGAAAAGACTGTGGGTGGTCTATGGCTCTATAGCCCACTTAGGAGGGGGAGGGTGGGCAGAAACATAACAGTAGGTTCCTGTGTAGGCATTTCTCCCTGGTCCTTTCTATACAATTATTTAGTTATTTATTTAATGCCTATTTCGTGGCAGACACTGGGCCTGATGGGAGCTATGGATGTAATGGCGTCCAAGGCAATGGCTCTTCCTCTCAAAGCTCATGGTCTGGGCAGGGAGATGCATAGTCAACAAACAATTCACCAATATATTACAGTTATATTATTCTATATATAATAGAGTTATCTCCTTGTAATGGTTTTCAAGAGTCTCTGGGTATTTTCCCAGCGCAAAGAGAAGAGGACTGCCCATTTCCCAATGAAACTGATGAGTGTAGATGGGTTTCTCAGGCATTTTGTCATTATCACCTTCCCAATGTGAAGCTTTTTTAGATATTTTCTCCCTGGATGGGTACAATAGCACAAGGAGTGGGGAGACCTTGGTTTGTCGGAGGTGGTGTAGTATAGAGGAGGGGGTAAGAGCTTGGGTTTGGGTATCAGATTCCCCGGATTTTGATGTCAACTCTGCCCCTTTATTAGTGCGGTCATGGGAAAGTTTTTTTAACCACCTGGGACCAAAATTTCCTTCTCTGTAAAATCAACATAATAATCACTTCCTCCCTCAGAGAACTCTTGTTAGAACATCCAATTGTTTAGAACAGTGCCTGACACTGGTATCTTTGATTGTGATTATTAAATCAAAATTAAAAGTCGGAAATGATGTCCCTTATATTTATTTTAACCCCTTTAATTTCACATTTGGATTAGTAAAATAGTACACGTGTATAATATAAGCAAACCTGCATGTATCAGAGGTGCATGCTCAAACTGTTTTTACTGATGGGAACATCATCAAAACCATTTGAAGACCAATGGCCTCAACACAAACTAATGTTTCTCACAGGCAAGTGCCTCTTACCAGCACCTTCATTCCTAATGACTTACATGAACATAATATATATTCTTTTGCAAAAGGAAACTATCTTGACTTTTCCAAAATTTTAACACAAATCCACATGCACATAGAATCTTTGCAACTACAGAAAATTATAAAAAAGAAAATCAACATACGTAACCCCAGCCTATGCTTATTAAAAAAAGAGATCTTTCACTTTTGAAATCCTGAGGTCATTTTAATTTTTTTTAAACTCTAAAGGGTGCTGAAAAGTCGCCAGCCACTTCATCTGACGTCAAGTCAGACAAAGCGAACTTTATATCCCAGGAGAGCAGAGGGGAGGCCAAGAACCCTACATCCACCAACACTACAAAGGAAGCTGCCAAGGAAAAGGGGGGACCCACCTCTCTGCCTTTGGGCAAACTGTTCTGGAAAAAGGTAAGTCCTATTTTCAAGACTTGCAGAGTAGTTGGAGCTAGGGTGACTGGAGAAATTATTTCAATTGGGCTAATCCATGTGCTCACCAAGTACAGTTTATTTTTCTTGCCCGAAATGACTCAACTAGCCATTGAGTTGAAGACTTATAATTTACTCCTGGGAAGAATGCAGTGCCTATGGTGTTAGAAGTATGTGTTTCATGGGAAAGAAAAGGAAATAAACAAGTTGATTTTTTTCATTCTTGGAGTTTCTCCGGCTCATGACAAACAGTTGTGGTATTTCGTGATTTCATTTTCTTTCCAAAATGGCTTAGTACTCTGGCTTCCTCCTGGATTCCTCTGAGTACTGTCTCTTCCAGTGAGCTGAACCACCTCTGGGCTTCCTCTCTCTTTCCCCAGCAAGATATAATCAGTCATTAGGAACCACTAAGGCTCACTCTCCTTTTGGAAAACCAAGGTGTCCACCATTCACCACCAGTGCGAGCACACACTGTGCTCTGTGATAGGAGCATTCAAAACATTGTCTCATTTTTTTCTACGGTGGCGCACAAGGGAGTGCGGTGGGTGGGGCTGAGTCAGTCTGCGAGCTAGTCCTTAATCAGCATTGCTGAGCACACCCCAGCTGCCACACGTGTTCAGAACTCTTGCCTCTTTTAAATGTGGCCAAAAGATGAGCAAGACGTCATGGGTGACTGAGTGGAATATAATTCATAGAGCTGAAAAAAAAATCTAATTAGTAATTTCATCAGAACTGCCATGCCACTTAGCATTCAGTACAAGGCAGGTGATAAATACAGATGCCCCTACGGTGTTCGTTTTATTCTTTGGTCCAGAATCCAGCTGGATTTCTGGAACTCTTTTTTTTTTTTTTTTTTTAGATTTTTTATTTATTTTTCAACAGAGAGAGAGAGACAGCGAGAGAGGGAACACAAGCAGGGGGAGTGGGAGAGGGAGAAGGAGGCTTCCTGCTGAGCAGGGAGCCTGATGCGGGACTCGATCCCAGGACCCTGGGATCATGACCTGAGCTGAAGGCAGACGCTTAAGGACTGAGCCACCCAGGCTCCCGGAACTCTTTTCTGTTGGCTTTCCATTGTACAGAAATCTTCCTTCTGGGTTCTGCCCAGAACACAAACTCCAGTACTTAATGAAAACTTTGGGTGATGTCATTTGGCATTCTGTTCTAATCCTCCTTCCTTCCCAACCACCAATTACTTATTTTTAGAAACCTTTTATCAGCAATATAATTTAGGGAAAAGTTCCCAAGTGAATCACATGTGCATAATGGTGGCCAGGAAGATGACTTAGGCCACCCATATTCAAACATCATTTATTTTAAAAATTATATATATTAAAAATGCATTAGAAAAACTGACCTAGCACATCAAACTCAAGACTTAATATATATTTTGCCTAAGGTGAGACTATCTATGTTTAGTTTAAAAAGTAATCCAATTAAAAGGAAAGGTCACATAATGGATGGTACTGATCTTGAATACATAATCGTAAATTCGGATCCTCCAAGGAGGGACACTGTGATGGAATTGATGTGCAATAGATTTATTGGAGGAAAACACCGTGAAGGATAAAGTTGGGGGGCACAGGAGGAGGTAGAGAGAGCCTTCAGGCCACAATAAGGGCCTGACACGGCAGAAGGGAGACAGGGAAGGAAGGAGGAGAAGGTTGGAAAAGCCACCGCCTAAGGGTGGTGCTGAACCAATGGCTCGGGTCGTGGTCCCAGGGTCCTGGGATCGAGTCCCACATCGGGCTCCCTGCTTGGCGAGGAGTCTGCTTCTCCCTCTGTCCCTCCCCCCTGCTTCTGCTCTCTCTCTCTCTCTCAAATAAATAAAATATTTTAAAAGAAAATACAAATAATAGTACCTCATCATAGAAATGAAGATTTAATGAAATCACGCCCTGCAAAACCCCGAACACCATGCCTCGCACAAAAGTGGCCAATGAATGGTCCTTCTGAACCTATGTCATTTATCTCCTGTGTGCTCGGGCTTGTGGACGCACTAACCATGGCCACCTCTTCATTTCTCCATACCCTCCAGACTGGGGAAGCTTCTAAGCTACTAAGCCTCAAATACTTCATCTGTCCTTATCTTTGGGGTCTCTAAGGCATATATTGGTTCCTCTTTGAAATTCAAGCTATTTCCATTGAGAAAAAAAAGACAGGACCACTTGACATTCTTCCCCCTAATGGTCAGATTTCATAGAGTTCAGTCTCGCTGTTTTTTTTTCTTTTTCACCATTATCTGGCTTTATTTCTTTCGTTGACTGTAAGAATAATGAAGAGAAGCGAAAACCCAAATCACCCGTAAATCTTGCTTTTCCTTCTCCCATTCGATCAGAAAGAACAGCTCTTTATGGAAGTAAAATAGGGACGATGCACTCCTGCAAGAATATTTTCAGTCTCCTCTGTGCTGAGTTTTTTTTGTGTCAAACGCTTTGTGCTAAGGCATTGAAAAGATAACAGCAAACAGCTTGCTACCTTTTTGTAGCTTACATTCTCAAGGGGGGACTTATGTTCTAGTCAAAAACAAAATGAAGACCTTCGTTTTCTTTTCTTTAAATTAGATAAGCTTTGGTTATAAAATCACTGTTGTAAAAACTGTAAAAAAACAAAGAGAAATCCTAGAAAATTTTGATCTTTCCACTAACCCAAACTCTTTCTTCTCCTCTTTTAACTGGGAAGCTTTTAAACAAACTGACTTTGAAGTGTATATGTCTACAATATGAACATCAGAAATAAAATTTTCCCCCTAACATGCTGTGGACATGAAATTATAAGTTATTTTGATTTATAGTCTTGATTGCTGACGTCATTCTTATTATAAAACAAAAATAACACAAATAACCTTTGAGAAAATTAATTTCAAATGATGGTGTATTTACCAAAAAATGTTTAAAATCCAGTTACCTGGACTCTACATATGCCCCTTATTGTTTTGGGTTCTTTGGGGTACCATTTGCTCTGTGACCTCACAAAAGTTACTCACCCTGTTTGAATTTCTTTTTCTTCATCTGTAGAAGGGTTGGAATAAATGATCTTGAAAAATTCTGGTACGCGGCAAATCTTGCATAACAGACAGAATCAGAAAGATTGGACTGCATAGCCTTGGACAAACTGCTGGACCACTCCAAGCCTCTGTTTTCTTTTATGTAAATAGGGACACGTTTCTCCCACCATGTTGTTACACCAATCCACTAACTGTACACAGAGAAACCCTCAGACATAGTAAGTGCTCAACAAACACTTTTATCGTTTCTTTGGAAACGAATAGTTGCTGGGTCTGATCTAAATATCCATGTGTGGCATCTGGCTCCAGCAGCACCCGAGGTACAAAATGAGTCTAAGACTCACTTATCGCACTATCGAAACACCTGAAGTCCATTTGGAGGAACATGCCTGCACATGCAAGTGTGTATGCGTGCGTGTGTGTGCACACAATTCATAAATGATACATTTGAAATATCTTCAAAATAGTGCCTTTTTTGCTCTCCTTTGGAGGACACAAATGATGTGGAAAATAACGGGTGCTCTGAAGCCAAAGAGACCCATCATCCAGTCTCAGCTCTGACAGCTCCTGGCTGTTTGGATGTGATCAGGTCACTTAAATCCTCCATGCCTTGCTTTCCTCAGCTGTGGAAGCAGGCAGTGACACCCACCTTTCATGATTATTGAGAGGACGCAGTGAGAAAAATGAATGCAAAGTGACTGGCCCCGTTCCAGAACAAGGATGTTAGAATCCAGTGTTCATGTGTGGGCTGCAGGTTACAAATGCTCTGGGTGTTTAAAAAAGGCAGCAGTTGGTGTAGGTTAAAACAGACTAAGAGAACTTTAAAAGTCCTCTGAATCATCTGAGTTACTTGCTTCAAGTACAGATTCCTGTATTTGATCCCAGAATCCCTGGGAATCCTGGTTAAGAAAGTCTGGCATATGGCCGGACAATTCTGGAAGCACTTGAAAGGCGGGCTGAAACGTCTAGTCTTGAGGAAAAGTATTAGGGCCACTGTGAAGTCAGTGAACACAGAAGAGCTGTCACATGATCAAAATGATGCTTCCAGAAGACCTGCTAGCAGTGGGATGTCTGTTGGCTTAAGTGCTACCATGTGACAGCATTTTAAAGAAACATTCTTTTTAGAATGTGCTCTTCAAAGGACAGGAACCCTTGCTATGGCAAGTTTAGACTGATGCATTTCAGGGGCTGTGTTTCGGTCCTTATTTTCAGCAAATATAAATGCCCAAACAGGATCCTGCAGTTTCAAACTGAGTTTTTTGTGGTTATCGTGAATGAGGCTGGACAGTTTGTCGACTCAGCATAAAACACCCAGATGTCCAGCACATCGAAGATCAGAAGTTTCTGGTTTTGAGATTTGAATGGGAATCCCACCCTCTGTGTTTCCTGATTAGCCCCACACCTGATTAGGTTCTTCTGACTGGAGAGCTTGAGAACCCAATAAACACCTTTTGGTCTGCAGAGGTGGGACTTGCACTTGAAAATCCTCTCTGGTCTACTTTGAAGTGAGCCGTGCAAGTGTTGTTCTCATCTCTGAACATATTTCTGATGTGGAAGAATCAAGTCCTCTGCCCTCCTTCTGAGAGCTCATCTATCACACGGGACCCGCCAAGAGTGGAGAAGAGCGGCCTGCAATCTGGTACCTCTGCTTCCTCCACTCGTGGGCTTTCTACAAGGTGGAAAACATAAGGAGAAAAGGGAGAAGCTGCCCGAGGCCTTCATTTGTCATTGTGTGTTGAGCATGGACACCACGCTGGGTGCAGGTACACATGACATGTGAGATCCAGGCTTGGCTCAAAGAATGGGTTCAATAGAAATACTGTTGATGTAGGGTCCAAGCTGAAAATTTCATCTAGAGAGAAAGCAAATCTGGTTGCGAAGAGAGAAGCTCACGCAGTTACTAAAAGATGTGTTTCTGACCCTTGAACTCATCATGGCAGGGGGAAAACTTGGCTCTTAGAGCCGTCTCCACCACTTCCTAACTGCACCAGCTTGAACAAGGGACTTTACCTCCCTGTATCTCCATTTCTCGCTGTAAGTGAGGATCACCATCCTTACTGCTTGGGGCCACTTTCAGTGAAAGGGTGTCTACAAAGCACCTGCATATACAATGGCTATACAGGCATACAACTGGTTTGCAAAATGCAGAAGACGTATTTGTGAATGTCGATTCCTTTCTCCCCTCCTACTGTGTGTTTTAAAGGTAAAAATAAACACAGGACTTGGAACAGAACGAATATAGGGAAGAGCTCCTAGCCTGGAATCCAAGAAAAGAGATGGTCTATGAACACCCTAAAATTATTTGCAAAATATTTTGTTTCTGTTTATTTTTCTGGGGAGAGAGTCCAGATCTGTCAAGTGAGTCTTGAAGCAGTCTATAAACACCACCACCCCCCGCCCCCGCCAAATTTAAGAACAATGGCAAAGATGAGCTCCACAGTTGAAGCTTAGCAGATGGATGTAATGGTGGTGGCATTGACCTTTGATAGCATTGGGCCAACTGCTCTCCTAATTTAAGGCAGGACTGTGAATGCCAGGATTACTGTAGGGAGGAACAGTGCTTGAAGTTGGGTGTGTTGGACCCCAGCCCTCTGGGCCTCCAGAGGAGGGTTTTAACCGGATTGAACTTGGCCATGATGACATTGACCCATATGGAGGGGGGATGTAGGAAGCAGCTCCTGATGCCAGCCACTGCACTGTGGTCAGAATTAGGCTGAAGACCTCGCTCATGACCTCAGTGCCTCTTTGCTCTATGATTACCATGGGATAGACTTCTCTGGACTTTCTGCTGCAATTTTCCTGAGCAGCTCATTTATTTTTACCTAACAGTAACTGTGCCCTGTATGATCGATCCTTTACCCTCTTTTCATCAGCAAGCAACCAGAAAATGTTAAGGCAAATGCGTCGCTGACCCATAGCCTAGGCTATGGTTTGTGTTTTCTGTAGCAACCCCTTCTCCTCACTCCATTCGTGTCCTGGCTGCATCTGGGTGTTTATTTTCCCTTTGCTGCTTGTTAAAAATACAGAACAATTTGTATTATCTTGCTGTACTGTTTACTCTTGTGTAAGCCTCCTTCAAGTTCGTTTTGGAACCAGGTATGTGTAAACAATTCAATGTCCAAGAATGGCACCAAAGGGCTGCAAAGCCCAACTAACTCTCCATTTTTTTGGGTAACATTCTGACTCTTACTTTTGTTTTTATCTCCCCTTTAGTCAGTTAAAGAGGATTCAGTCCCAGCAGAGGAGAATGTAAGTTGTGCATTAAATGGCAGAATCATTCCATGCTCATCTTCTGCATGCTGGACCATTCATTGGGCATTTCAGCTCTGGGGTCCCATGTTCTTGCATGCTCCAGTGTCTCCCATCTGCTGTAGACTCTTTCACCCTTTTATGTGATTAGGGACCAATGGGGAATAACACTGGGTGAATATTTGTACCGCCTATTGAATCAATGCAAACTAAACACAATATCAGAGCAAGTGTCTTTACAATTTGTTATCATTTAGGGGCTGAAAGAGTCTACCAATCATAAGAACATCCTCACACATCCTTAAGGGGCAATGATGCTGCACGCTGGGCTCCTCCATCTTGATTGCTCTTTCACCTCTATTTCCATGGCAACCCAGATTCTCTACTAACTGTGGGCGGTACCCAGGACAGGTAGTGGCATCAAGCATGAGAGCATCTTACTGCCCTCGATGATGAGACTGTTGGTCTTGGGCAGGAGAGCTGACTTCTCGGATCTCCACCTGAGAAATGTAGGTTGAGCCTCGCTGTCCAAACTTTCAAGACAGTAGGTTCACATCTGAAGGGGATGGCTCCATTGAGGCACCTCAAAAATGTAGTTTTCCAAAACCTCTTCCAGCGAGATTAATAAATCGTCCTCATGAGTCAGCAGCTTTCTGCTCTGAAAGAAGTACAGTCTTTGGAAAATTTTGGAAGTGAGGATAAGTGAGTTCACAGCTCCTTAAAAGAGAAACTGATCATGATCACTTTGTCAAAGCAAAATATGTTTGGCTCTTTCTAGGTGTCTCTTGTTTGCTAGCCTTGGATGAGGCTTGTGTTTTCATTTTTATTTAATTGCTGGCATTGAACCGATGTTGAGAATCCAAGTACATTCCAGAAATGTTGCCTGTTATGTGGATTGAAAATTAGAATGGCTATGTTATAATTCTTGTTAGGAGAAAGATCTTTCAGATCTGCTTTTTTGTTTTGCAAATGTTTTCTTTCCCTCCCCAATCCCTGCTCTCCCTCCCTCCTTTCTTCCTCTCTTCTTCCTCTCTTTCTTTCTTTCTTTTTCTTTCTTTCTTTCTTTTTCTTTCTTTCTTTCTTTCTTTCTTTCTTTCTTTCTTTCTTTCTCTTTCTTTCTTTCTTTCTCTTTCTTTCTTTCTTTCTCTTTCTTTCTTTCTCTCTCTTTCTTTCTTTCTTTCTTTCTTTCTTTCTTTCTTTCTTTCTTTCTCTTCCTTCCTTCCTTCACCCTCTCCTTTGACTCAATTTTAGTAGCTCGGCAAAGCTCAGATCTCTCATAATTCCAGAAAATTCTCACGAATTTACCAGCTCTTTTCTGTAGAGTCAAAGCCTCTATTTCACCAACATGTGAGGAAGAACTCTGTGAGTCTTTTTCCCCATGAACTTTAAATTTAAAAGCTGCAGGTTAAGTCTGAAGCATCAGTTAGCTTTGAGGTTCTGAGTTTGTTTTTTGAAGAGAAACTTGTGTTTAGATGTTTGTGTGCAGTTGCCTGTCTGAGGAACCCCTTGCAGCTCAGGTGCTAACATGCAGAGTTGACCTTTGACAGACAAAGAGGAAGTATACCCTTTTCTAATGTGACGTTCAAAACAGAAATATAAACGTGAACAAAAGTTAAATTACTGATACCAAACGAGAACAAAAAAGCTGATGAAGATATTAAAGAAAGCAAAGTATTTTCTCAAGAAAATAAAGAAACATGATCAAAATGGCTTTAAATCACTTGGCCCTACAAGTAACATTTCTGTTTGGAAGCTCCAACATTTCATTGTCTAACAGCCTGTTAGTTGGAGGGAATGAGGCTAAAAGTAGTGATTCTGGGCCCATCATCCCCAAGCTGTGCCACTTCTGGGACCTCAGTTTACTCATCTTTTAAATGGCCACAATAATATTACCTACCCCTTAGGGTCCTGGTGAGAATTAAATGGGAACAAGGCATGTAACGTGCATACTTCAGGGCCTGAAACACAGGAAGAATTCAGTCATTCAGGGGACAGCAAACTGCAGCTCACAAGCCAATTCCAGCCCATTGTCCGTGTCCCTGTGGCCCATGAGCTAAAAATGGCTTTTACATTTTGAATGATGAAAAAATTGAAAGAAGAATGATATTGCAAGGTACTAAAAATTACACAAATTTGGGACACTTGCGTGGCTCAGTCAGCAAAGCGTCTGACTCTTGATGTCAGCTCAGGTCATGATCTCAGGGTAGTGAGATCGAGCCCCACATGGGGCTCTGTGCTAGGCATGGAGTCTGCTTAGGATTCTCTCTGTCCCTCACCCTCTGCCCCTCCCCACCCCTCCCATGCTCATGCTCTCTAAATAAATAAATGAATAAATAAATAAAATGAGAATACCTGTTTTAAAAATATTACACGAATTTCACATTTCACTGTTTATGAACAAAGTTTTATTAGAACACAGCCACACTCATTCATTTGCATATCATCTATGGCTGCTTTTCTGCTTCAAGGGTAGAGTAGAGTAGTTGGGACAGGGCCCTTGGCAGGAAGAGTTTGCCGCCCTTGCAGTAACTGTTAGTGCATAGGAATTATAATGTGATGAGTGAGCGCTTCCCAGCAATCAGTGATTATTTTGCCCTGTGAAATTATACATCTGTCAGCTGACTCAGTGCCCATATGGAATGAAGGCATGTGTGAAATAATTAGTTTAATTTCCTCCTCCTAAATAAGAGAGATGGCATTAATCAAAACAACGTATAGTACTCTAAACCTCCAAACAGGACCATTAGGTGTGATTAATCCTATTATAAGAGTCCTTTAACTAGCAACTTCTGGCTAAAATATGGTTGGGCTTATTTATTTTTTAATTTCTCTACCATCAGTTTCTATAACCCATCTATCAACCAATGCGAAGCAAAAGACAGAGTGATTTCCACATTTCTCAAAGTTTTTCATGAAGAGAAAAACAAGGCTTTTGAAACCCACAGAAGTTCAGTGCTTTTCCTAGAATGTGCTTCTGGTCCTATCAGAAATAAAATCTACTACAGAAACTACTGAATCATTCCGCTATAATCTGAAAACATTTTGGCCATTGCTTAATTAAGTTAATGTTCTAACTCATGGGGGATAAAAATCTTTCCTTCCCAATGACCTATACAATGAAGGAAATAGGTACTTCTGTTGTTTACCTCTCTTAGTAAGTAATCTCACGGTTGCAAGGGTAAAGGAAACTCAACCCAACGTAGGTTTGTTTTAAAAAAAGAAATTCATTGTCACTCCTCACTGGGAAGTAGCATTGGTTTTAAATCAGTCTTGATGCAGAACTTCCCTGTGGCTCAGCCTTCCAGGCCTGGCTAACTTTCTTCTCACATCCCATCACACAGTCCAGAGTAAAGGAGAGATTGGGCCAGTGGAAACCCTGCAGGTGCTGGAGTCTCTTCGCTTTCATGGACTTACACGGGTTCACAGGCTTTGTGAGTCAGCTCTTGCCAGGCTATGTTGCGGTAACATCCAAGCCCTACACTTGGCTTTCAACAGCAGAGATCCTTTTTTTCCTCACTCATGCTACATGGCAGCCATAGGTTGGCTGTGGCTGATCCACGTGGCTTCGTCCTGCTGAGATCTAGACTGAGAAAAACATCCCCTTCATCAAGGACGTGCGATTGTTGTGACAAGAGAGAAGACAGCCAGAGGTGAGCCACAAGATGGCTCAGAGAGCCTCCCCTCAGTCTTGCGTTACGGCATGTCTGCTCATGTTACATTCACCAGAGCAAGTCACCCAGCAGTGGGCATGGATGCATGATCCCTTTACAGGAAGCCAGGGTGAATAATTGGGAAAGTAATACATTCTGCCACATACTCCCATCCCTGAACTCATATGGTCAAGGAGCTAGACCTTGGCTAGGATTGGCTTAGATCTGCTCGAACAACTGCATCCTGATCATGCAGGCTTAAAGTTAAGGAGGGTTGTTCCCCTAAAATAAAACTGGGGTTCCATGAAGAGAATGGAGGGAGAATGGTGACTAGATTGAAAACTAAAACTTTTCCCAGGTCTTTGTAACCAAATAATCACATTCTAAATCAAATCAGCTAGCATCTTTAAAAGATTCTTAAGTAAAAACTGTTAGTATCAATATTGTGTGTTATGGGGGAAGTGTAGGGGGAGGAAATCTATTTTGCTATAAATCAGTTTCCAAAACTCACAGTTCTAGTGAAAACTGTATAATCCAAATTCCAAGAGTAAATATAGTATAACATTTGAGGCCAAAAAGTGAAAACTTTTGCTCCCTTAATGTGTATTTTCTGTGTTAAATGTACTAGCCATCTTCCCGCAAAGTATGATATCCCCTCTCCTGAAATCAAGCAAGGGGGATTTGATTCTAAAATATAGCACAAATCTGATTTTCATTATATCCATCATACCCAAAATTAAAATGTGCAGATGCAGGGGTTTTTTTCTAAATAGAGAGTGACTTTTTCTAAAACCCTGGCCGGGAAGGATATCAGAAAAATATCCAAACAAAAATCAAATTCTATGTCTGTATATGCAAATCAGCTCCTAATTCAGTTCAAATCCTCTGGATTTCCCCACTGGAAGTCAGTGGATTTTCCTTGGCTGCTGAAAGCCAATTTCTTGGCCTGACTTCAAAGTTAATGGGAGTCTCTAGAAGTCCCTCCAACACGGGGCTTTTTTTTTCCTACTAAAATAGTTGTGTTTTTTTTTTAATTTTTTTTTATTAACATATAATGTATTGTTTCAGGGGTACAGGTCTGTGATTCATCAATCTTACACAATTCACAGTGCTCACCATAGCACATACCCTCCCCAATGTCCATCACCCAGCCACCCCATCCCTCCCAACCCCCTCCACTCCAGCAACCCTCAGTTTGTTTCTGAAATTAAGAGTCTCTTATGGTTTGTCTCCCTCCATGGTTTCGTCTTGTTTCATTTTTCCCTCCCTTCCCCTATGATCCTCTATCTTGTTTCTCAAATTCCTCATATCAGTGAGATCATATGATAATTGTCTTTCTCTGACTGACTTATGAAATAGTTGTGTTTTGAAGAATGGACTCTGGCCTAGGATTTATGAGTTGACACCACTCAAATTTTTAAAGGCCCAGCCAGAAAACCATTGGCAATCAAAAAATTGATTGATGAAGTTACTGCTACACAGTCTGATCATTTTATTATGTAATTTTCCCTCTAGGCTCTTGCATACAAAAAAGGAACTTGCTGCTTCAAAGGTAGAATAATTCTGAACCCAGATTCAGTGAATCAGACTCTGGTCATTACCTACCTAAGGGCTATTTCCCATTTCTCCACCCTTCTTCCTTTGATCTTAGGCAAGGTTGGCAACTACCACACCCCCAAAGTATTTGATCATGATTAGTCTAAAGCAATTATCCCATTATTTTTTTCAACAAAAATTTGGGAGTAAGGATGTGACCACTTCTGGCCAGTGAAATGTAGCTGAGGTAAGAAATCAAAATACAGGAGTTCATCTGGAGCAAACCTTTTGCTATGGCCTTCCTCCCTTTTTTAAGACATTAGGTTGAGGATGTGATGCCTGGAACTGTGGCAGCTATTTTGTATCCATGAGGTAACAAATAAAAGGATGAAAACCCAGCATGCTCAATAACCATTCACTGAGGTTAATATATTAAAATATCTTGTACAATGTCAGCCATAGTAAGAGTTAGATATTAATATCATCTCTAAAAAGTGGGATTCCTCATAATTCAGGCCCATGGAATAAACAGCTCTCATAATAGCACAAGTAATGACCACTAGTATTAATTGAGTGCTTGTTATGGGTCAGGCACTGTTCTAAGAACTTTGTGCCTGATTTAATTTTGCAAACAACTTTCTGATGTGTATACTGTCCAAGCCAAGAATTGAGAAAACCCAGGTACAGAGATATTGAGTAGAGACCTTGGTCTAGAGCCTCCATAAGGGGTGGAGGGGAGACATGGAGCCAGGCAGGGCTGGAGCTGCAGGCTGCTCTCCTGAGCACTGCGTCAGACTGCCTGCATTTCAGGCTTACCCCTGGACTCTGGTGGCCGAAGCTTTTTTTCAGAAATGCAACTGAACTGAATCAGGCCCAGATGTGGAAATCCATGACCACGTCTGACCACCAATCCCAGTATGTCACCTGGCTTCAGTCTCAGCCTGGTTTCCCAAGATGGGTCTGGGTCAGAGCCTGGCAGCCCACAGTAGGAGAAGCCTTCTCACAGACACTTGCAGTCCAGCATTTTCCTTCTTGAGGTGGGACAACTTGACTCGTCCACCAGAGCCCCAACCGCTCCTTTGTGTCTTATGATCAATCCATGTTGATCTTACCTGCCTGCCTTGCCACTTTCGGACTTTTGAGTGGATGACTCCCCAACCTAGATCTTTATCTACAAAGGAAGGATGCTAGAAGTCGTGTCAATATGTTATAAAATGGAAGGTGGAGAGAGAAGGCTGTGATTTAGGTGCCATATTTCAGGGTGTTCCTTCATGCTGCTTTGTTAATGGGCACCTTCCTGTTTTGCTTGACAATACAGAAATCAACGGTCCTTCTCAATTTGGATCACTGGGGTCATGTGCAAGCCAATGGCATATTCTGCATGAAGAAAAGGAAAATGATTTCTCCACAGGCATACAGGTGTTTTGGAAATACCTAAGGTCCCTTCCCCCACTCTCTGACAGCAAATATAAGATGCAGAGGAAGCTGGAGGGTCCAGCACCAGCAAAGACAAATGCAAAGGTGGCTTTGGCTCTAGAGAGCCTTCCTCTGAGGCAGGGGATGACAAAACTATTGTGTGAAGGGCCGGGCGGTAAATGTTTCAGACTTAACAGGCCACATGTAGTCTCTCTTGCCTGTCTTTCATCTTTTAAGAACATATTACAACCCTTTAAAAAAAATGTAAAATCCATTCTTAGCTCAGGGCTGTGCTAAAAACAGTCTCTGGGATGGATTTTGTAGTCGTTTGCCAGCCCCTGCCTGAGGAAACAAAGAAATTATGGAGCCTTCTCCAGGCCAATTAAATCTGTTGCAAGGATCAATGCAAAGTAGAAACTGGCCCAGATGTGACTGGGGCACAGCACAAATGGAGTGAGGCAAGGCAAAAGAACAGAATTTGGAATCAGAGCGCAGGTGAATCGGACCTTGCATCCAAACCTCCCATTGCTGGTCACCCCTTCTCCCCAACGGACCCTCAGGGGGCACTGAGCTCCCTGGGTACCTTGCTGGGGGCTGTCAGGAACTTCACCATGGTGTTCTTGCCAAGTTCCGTTTTCTTCTGAAAGCAGGAACTTTGGTTAAGAAACGAAGGCAAATGACCGGCCCTCGGTTGGGGTGGGAAGTAAGTTAAGGAGGGGGTCCCATCTGCTAAATCCAGTGTGGACTTCACACTATCTTTTCCACAAAGAGGGCAAGTCTTCCCAGTTGCGGGGGGATCTTAGGGCATGCGATGGAAGGTATCATGGCCAACATCTCCAAGGACCTTTAAGGAAATGATGACTCCTGATTTTTATACAGGCCAAGGGTAAGTCACCTTGATGGCGGACCAAAGAGGGGGGACTCCTGGAACGGAAGGGGTAGTGAGCCTGCTGTGGATGGCAGTCCCCAGGAAGGGCTTCCTATCTAAGCCTTGTACCTCGTGGAGCAGGATTTTTGCCACTTCCGAGTCAGGGTATTTGGACTTTTTTCCCGAAATTGACTGTTGGAAAGCACACTATAAGACATGGGTGTTCCTTCTCGAAGATGTGCCTGTGTAGAAATGATCATTGGGTCAAACTTGTAGCACGTGGACAAGGGGGCAACCAGGACCCCTCACTTTATAAAGCCTGTTTGGGGGAATGTTTTCTTTTTTCACTGTCTTATTACCTGGCAAAATAATTACCAGGTGGTGTGTGAATCACCAGTAGAGGTTGTAAAGTCCGAGGAAGTAGAATCAACCTTACAAACAGTGGATCTCAATGAAGAAGGAGATGCCACACCCGAACCCACAGAAGTAAGATTCAAAAGAGAAGAACGCAAACCACCGAGAACCTCCCTGATGGCGTTTCTCAGACAACTGGTAAGCCACCTGTTTCCAGCCCAGGAAAGCTGAAATACCCAGATCAGCTTTTGCAAATGAAGGACCCATCTCAGGTGGGGTGAGCCGTAATTGTAGGTGGTGTAGAGGGGATACACGTGATCTGTTGTGTGCAGGGAGACAACTGCTTTTCCTCCTTCTGACTCAATCATTGCGCGAGTCTCAGTTTATTGCTAATGTTCCTTAATCTTTCCTTAATTCCTGCTAACTCCCTTTTTAACAAAGAAAGAGCTGGTCTTGGGTGCTGAGCTTTGGCAGACAGCAGCATCCATGCAGAAGTTAATATTACTGTTCACTTTCAATTTAATTTATTTTTAAAGTTTCCTTCTCTGTATGGCAAATGATATTGTTTTTCTCATTATGGTAATGATATGCAGTTTCCTTTGAGAATACATTTATTTACACAAAGAACATAAGGCATTGTTTAAAGTACTAGGTAAGAAATAGGCCAAGTTATATACTGGTGTTGGAAAAATTCTGAAAGTGATGTGTGAGTGACACAAATTTGGACAAAGCCGATTTATAAATAATTCCAATTATAAAGTGACAACATAATTTTCCCATAGTGAATGTGTATAACTCAGTTGGTGAATTTGCCATGCTTTTAGCTTGCATAAAATGGAAAGAATGTGGGCAGATGTTTTTTGGTGTCTCTGAAGTGTCATGTACATTAAATAACAAAGCAACCAAGAACTTAAATAATTATAATACAACAAAACCCAACTTGGTTGGAAGACAAAGAGCAAAAGCCCATGTAAAAGGTCATTGGTTTAATTCTCTTTTAATGAAAAACAAGAATTTCATTATAGTGTACCATTATTTTCAGGAGTATTTGGGAATTTAATCCTTTGAGAAAGCAACCCTTTGGTTTCACAGGCTCTGCCTGTTAAGGAATTCTTTCTAGTCCACGACACAACATAACATAACACAAAACCCTTGCCAGTGGGAGCTGAGGCGTATTAGAAATGATTCTGTTAGCAAGTGTCAACAGGAATCATTTTCTTTTATCACTGGACTCTCGGAGAGTAAGAAGTGTACATAGAGTTAGTAGTGAGCAGGTTGTATGGCTGGGACCCCATCTATGTTCCTGGTCATTTACTCTGCAATTTGGCACTGAAAATGGGGATCAAGATCTGAGATTTTTCAACCAATTTTTACGCAATGTCAGGAAAGAAAAGAACATTTGGCCTTTTTCTGGCAACCCATTGACATTACAAATGGCATCCCCAAATAGCTCATCATAACATTGAGAGTGATCCAACTTTCCCATTTCTCGGTGGAGTTGAGAGATTACCGCCCCCAACATAGCAAATAGTATGACTTTCTTTTGCATATAACCACCCTGAGACTTCTTCACTTAAAGACAAGAAAATGCAAGAGCCTCCAAATAAAACATGAAAGGTGTCTAAACCACCCACTACATCCATTCAATTCAAATCCTTGAATTCTAATGAGTCCCACGTTACTTAAATTCACCCTCCAGAGCTATCCTTTAGAGGTTTCTGGGGGATATTTTCTAGCAATAGAAATGGGTACCTCTGAACTGTTAGAGGAACAAGTTGGAAACAAAAGAGTCCTTTATAATTGATTCTCCGTAGGATAGGGATAGAGGTAGAAGAAGACACATTTTTCCGGAGCAATCTTCAGTGGATTCATAGCATCAGGTCTTATTATGTCCATTGTTCTTATTATCTACCGTCCATAGAAAGAGTTATGCCTGGGAGCTTGAACATTATTCCTCTCTATTAATGTTGAAACTCCAAAGCTTCCATGACTTGGGGGATTCTCCCTAAAAATTCCAGATACCCTAGTGATTCTTGTCTTGCAGTCTGTTTTGTTTTCATTATAAAAATATATCACCATTGTGAATAATTCAAATACACAGAAGATGTGGGTTTTCCAGTTCACCACGATCCCACGACTCCCTGTACTCACACCCAGCTCACTCATTTATGTCCCTAGCCCTATCCCTGTGGGTATTTGGTGCTGCATCCTGGATATAGTACCACCTCATTCTTTAAAACAACTTCATTGAATCACATCATCTGGATTTATCATACTTGGATTCACCATTGTCTCTTGATGGACATTGGATTTGTTTCCAACTTGTTGCACTTCATTTGGTCATTTTTTCAACAAAAAATTATTGAGTACCCACTGTACTCCAGACATTGGGATATAACAGTAAGTAGACGTGGCCCCTGTCCTCATGGAGAATAAAGCCCAATGAGGAAAACATGTTTATTTTTAACTCTAGGCCATATGCAGTGAGCACCCATATGTGTCTCGTGCACATTGATCTCGGGTTCTTCAGTAACTAACCTGATGAACATCCTTGCACACCTACCTTTATGCACATGTGCTAATATCCCCCACAGCGTGCATTCCTGGAAGTTGGCTTCAGCAATCATTTCAGGAAACACTTTGAGCTAACATTGCCTGACTTCCAAACTAATTTAAAGTCCAGATTTATGTGGGAGAAAACCAAACCAAACCAACCCTTCGTCTCAGGGCTTGAAAATCAAGACAACATCTGACTCATCACTGAGCTTTTCATTTTTTATTTTTTGAGCCAAATAAGTGAACGTTTCAAACTGATTTTAGATATTGTTAGAAAAATATGTTATTTTTAAAATAATTGATTTAATAAAAGAGGAAGCTCAATTGTAAATGTGTCACCCTTGTTTTATAATCAATGTCTCCATTCATCAAATCATTTTTGATTTTCTACCTCCTCACCTTGGCCTCCCTTAAATTTCTCTCAGAAAACATATTTTGCTGTCCCATGGCCCTGTGACTCAGGGTTGCATATTTAAAAAAAATAAATGCATTGCCCAGGTTATTTCTAAAGAGATCTTTTTCTTTCCAGAAATTAACCTCTCATAAAAATAGAAATGGAAAGAATATCATTTTTTAAATAATCTTATTTCAGGAAAAATAAATAGAGTTCCCTAAGTCCTTGCACTGCACCCAACACAGGTAGTTCTATCACTTCACAAAAATCCTATGGGCTCCTACAGATTTTCAAAATAATTGCAAAGAGTAGCTAAGACATCTGTCATGCCCTAAATAGAAAAAGATTCTTATAGGTATTAATTCAAGTGTATGTCAAGAAATTGGATATTTGAAGCGCCAGTATATTTTTATAAAGTGAGTGGGTGGAGAACTCTATTCATGTGCCCACAAACCAGGTAGGCAGATGAAACCATACAGTGGTAGATGGGAATATAGAGATATAGATTTATAATCTATCAATATTAATAACACCCTGTACTTGAAAAGTGCTTTCCTCCTCCGAACCCTTGTCACCTACTGTTTCATTTAATCCTGCTCCTGTCTTTCTTTAGACCATTCATTTTGTAGGAAGCTCTTTGTTGGAATCATCTTCTCAGGCACAGACAGGGACTGTGAGCTTTAATACTGAGCACGTATAAGATCCAAATGAGGATACAGCCAGGAAATCACGGTCTTCCACTGCTTACCTTCAACCTATAAATCTAATAAAACCTGTTGAAATTGACCATCTGGAGGAAAAAGGAGGATGGTTTGTAATGGTGACTGTGAAACAAAAAAACAAAAACAGGAGTCTTCCAGCTCAAGTTCTTGATCTCCCATTCTGCCCCAAGTCCTGATTATGAAAACAGAGTTGTGCTTCTGGAGGTTTCTGAAAGTAGTGTTTCTCTGGGCAATTCCTATCTCCACAGCAGCCTGCGTTCCTTTCTACCCTTACAGGAGATTCTGTGGTCACTTGGCACTCTCGGTTAATAATTATAGTAATGATGATAATAGATACTGTGTATGTATCATGTGCCAGTGGCCTGGCCAGCACCATGCTAGCACTGTGCATGCCTTAGCTCATTTATTAACCTAAAAACTCCATGCAACACATTCCTGCCCCACCGTGCAGAGAAGGGCATGAAGACTCAGTGTGTTTAAGCAATTCGGTCAGGGTCACAGAGCTGGAAAACGGCAGCGCCAGAACTCAAACTCAGGTGTTTGTTGATTCTAAAGCTCACCCCCTGTACTTAGATGTGATTGTGACTTTCTGTGCTCCTGGCAGCTGATTTTCTTTGAGAGTACATGGAGAAAGAACAGCCATAGCTCCATTTTTGTGATTCTCCTCATAGTGTTTTCTGCGCTCATCTGAAATCACCTGAAATTACAACAAGGCAAGAGAGAGGAGAATTAATACATGACTTACATAAAGCTCGGATGTACGTTTTCTGAATATGTTTGTCACTAAACTGAGATTTGACTTGGTTGTGTAATTTTGTCTGATTGTCCAGTTCTGTTTCAAGTGAGCATCTTGGTAAAACACGAAGGTGGGACCCATGGCCTTTGTTGATTCTGGAAATTTCTAGCAGGTCCAGTTCCTTGGATTTGTGTAACAATGAGGCTGACCTAGTAAACAATCCCACATAATAAATTAAAATATCTTCCCAATTCTTCTTTTAAATCTCAACTTTGGTTGAATTAGATCTCTACCAAAAATACACTTGTACTCCTTTCAAAGAAATGTGAACTGCCCACCAAACATTTCCACTAGAACTTTGAATATCTAAGTGATACACGTTGGAGAGGGTTCAAATGCTCCTCAGAGTATCAAGCTATTAGAATGCATGACACAATGAAAGAAATAAAAATGACTTTATTAATAGGCAAAGCTTGGATGTCACAACCAGGTGCCATCCCAACACTGCAGGGTGGATGCCCTGAGATGCTTCACCTTTGGCTTTCATGAATAAAAATAAACCCCTGGAAGAAAGTTGATCAGTAATGAACTAGAAAATCTCTGAAATTACTTGGTAGTCTTTGAACTGTTCTTTAAAGTATTGGATAGTCCCTGAAAAAAATTGGGGTTCTTTAAACATTAACTCTATTTTTGACAGCTGGAGAAAATGAGCTTCTGTGGTTATGGTCCTTTCAATACAGAGCCCAACATGAACTATATGAATTGGTCTCTAAAAGAGGACTCAGCAAAGAGGAAAGAATGATAGAAAGAAAACAGAGAGGAAGGGAGGGAGGGACTTAGTAAGACCCTTAGTCTAAACTCAGCATGTAGTCACCTTGGCATATATACAGCTTTTTATGCCTCAAAATGAATAACAGAGGAAAATCATAGAAAAGCTTGAGATAGTCTCTTTTTTAAAGAAGAATAAGTTGAACTTCTTTGCAATGATCTCCCTAACAGCCGGAGGGGCTGTTTTCCGGATGCTAACCTAGATCCACTGCTGCCAAGAAAGACTTTTGATTCAATCCAAATTCTCCTCCAAGGGCTAGCAAAGACAGGGAGGGGAAGAAAGCAGATTTAAACCTTAAACTGGCAGAGGACCTAACAGATATCAAATTGAAACCGCTAGAGGGAAGTTAAAAAATCTCTCTCTCTTGGGCAGGAAGGTGGCACCAGGGGCCACGCCTGCCTCCTGATCTCCACTGAGGTTTTGCTTAAAAAGCCATTTTGTTTGTTTGGCTGGTTTTGCCATTCAGCATTCCCCAAAGGCCCACTAATGAGGATGTGATGCCATATTCTAAAGGACACTAGGGAATGTGTTTGGGTAGGAAGGGCTCTTAATGACAGCTTGAATTCTGGAGGCCAGTGAAATCCCAAAATGGCAAAACCTTTGAATGCAATGAGGAGGCTGACAGAGCTGGTTACAGGGAGAGAAATAATAACCGAGAGAGTCCATTTCTTTTTCTAAATGTTCTCAAGCAAGACTGGCCCTTGTAGAACAATGCAGAAGACCCAGAGGAAGACAAAACCACTTTCCATCCAAACAGATCTAAAGTATATGTAGAGGACAAACAGATCCTTATTTGCCTCTGGGCTGAACACCTTGGTGAAACTTGGTGAAACCCATGACAGTGATGTCCCTAAGAAAAGCACATGGAACTTCCAGACACCAGGGGTTTGGGCTGAAGAAAGATTTCTTCCATTCCTAACCAATCAAGAAGCATGTATCAAGGTTCTACCTTCTGTCAAGCTCTGTAAAGGTTGTTTCTGAGGCAGGACAAGACCTAGAAATTGCCATACTGTGTTAAACCATTGACAGTCCTGGTCAAGATTTCTGAATCTTAGTGGCACCAAGTAGTATTTAAAGATGAGCATGGTTGACCTCTGAGGATGGGCATGTTCCTCCCTATTTGAGATTTATCAACCTCCATCTTTTCCAAGCCCTTATTATCTTTCCCAATTAGGGGGCTTCGTAGTAGGTGCTTAATAAAAAATGTGTTCATTGAATGGTGGCTCCTACCTTGGAGGGACAGTACCGAGAGGTGGTTAAGAGTATAGGATATGGAGTCATTGCCTGGTGTCAAATCCTTGCTCGCTAACCTGCTAGTTCCATGACCCATGCTGGTTTCTCTGAGCTTCCATTTTCTTGCCTGTAAAATGAGGCAAATAAAATTATTCCTCCATCTTAAGGTTCTGCATGATGAATAAATGAACTAGTGAGGGTTATTATCTCATTTGGCACACTGCCTGACCTTTAGTAAGCACTCCACTAAGAGTTAGATTTCACGAATAATAATTTTCATTATCTTTACTAATATGAGCACCATACCTCAGGTTACAGAGACATATAATATTAATCAGTCAAAAAATTATTTGAGTGCCTTTGATGTTTTTACCTATTCTTGATGCAGGTGTTACAGTTTCTTGCCATCTGCTGACAGAACAGCTAAGATCATAACAGTGGGAGCTGAAGTCTTCCTGTTTGCCCCACATTGCTTACCCCCATTTCCTACACTCTCCTCCTCCAGCAGGGGAGGAGGAGACGATAAGCAATGACCAAATATGTGGGAATTAAACCCCAGGCAACATTGTTGATAAGAACTAGGCAATTCATTACCAGATTTCTTAGGTACTTTATCAAGCATCAGACATAGAGCATTACTGAATCCACAGCTGAGACAGCAGGCCCGGTATTGGTCTGCATTTGTCTATGCCAATTAGCTTTAAAAAGTGATGCTCAAACTCAGGTATGCTTCAGAACCACCCGGAGGGCTTGTTGCTCATCCCCCCACCCAACCCCGAGAGTTTCTGACTCAATAGATCTGGTGTGGTTCTCAAGAATTGGTATTTCTAACAAACTCCAAAGTGTTGCTGAGGCTGTGGCCCTGGGATCACAGTTTGAGAACCCTTCACTGAGTGTGTGCTTTCAGGAGCCAAAGCTGTGAATTCAACCCATCCAGCCCTATCACTGATGCCACAGGCCACAGCAGTCACTAAAAATGGAAAGTAGGATATTCAACAAACCCCACCTCTCTGCGAGGGAAAAAAAAAAAATACAAGGAAACATCCACCACCTAAATGTTACCAATAGAAGGCTACCAACGGTTTAATCGTTCGTTCATTCAACATGACCCACCACCTCTTGGTTCCAACATCAGCATTTTGGTCATCATTTCTTTATCCCAGAATTACCTAATCCCAGGGTTTAAGACTTCCATTGTTGTTGTTATTTGGGGAAAACCAACACTTGAATATAATCAGACTCTGGTTACAAGCCACATGGAAATTGTGTATCTCATGAGTAGTACATTTCTAGCTGGTCTTCCATTTGTCTTGACCCCGAATCTCAATCATGAATGAATGAGGTCATCCATTTCAGAACTCCCCTTGCATTCCCCATGTTGCTGTGCTCATGGTAGCTGAAAGGCCATTGTCTGTTTGTTATTTTAGTCAGTGAAAGGGGATGGAGGGATCACCCACTCAGAAGAAATAAATGGGAAAGACTCCAGCTATCAAGTAAGTGACCCGTCAACTCTGTTTGGTGGTGGGTTTAGCTTGCATGTTCTCACTTCTTTCCAGCCTAGTTGCCAATGCAATTCTCAGCCACAGACAACTCATTTACCATCTCTAGGTTAAGCATCTGCTGTATACCAGGCACTATCTTGGGCTCTGCGGATACATGCATGAACAAGCTAGAGTTTCTTGGCTATTTCATTTAACACATGCTTTTCCGTCTTCTCCACATGGCAAATCCCTTCCCGTCCTTCAAGTCTTGGCCTAAATGTCACCTCCTCAAGGAGATGTTCTATTTCTGCCCATCATCATTGCATCTTGTTCTTTCACTTCATGGAATTTATCACACATTGTAGTAAGTCATTTGTCTATTAGTTATGTCTCCTCTACCTGTTCCTTTCCGTGTTTGGAGCATCTGTGGAGCAAGGGAGGAGTCTCTTTTATTTTTCTATCACATTGCATAGTGCCTGGCATAGAGCAGGAGCTCTTTCTTGAAAAAAAAGTTGGTGAAAGACATGGGATCATGTAGGGTTTTTTTCCCATTATTTTCTCCATTCTAAAGAAATATAGCTATGACATTTTTATAACTACATGTATCCTTTTTTTAAAATGGGATCATCTCATGCTCAACACCCTATTTTATAACCTGCACTCTTTCTTAACGTAGAAATACACCTTCACAAAAATGTCCTCAAATATTCTTCTACTAATATTTGCAATGCAGAGAACTGGCTAAGAGCACGAGCTGCAAGCTCAAGACTGCCTGCGTTTGAACCCTGGCTCCACTACTCTTTAGCTGTGTGACTAAAAACAACTTACCAAATCTCTCCGTGCCTCAGTTTCCTCCTCTCTACAATGGAGCTAGGAAAAGTACTGCCTCGTGGCATTGTCATGCCTAGATGAGTCAACACATGTAAAGTCCCTGGAACAGTCCTAGTACCGGGGACTCAATAAACGTTAGTCGTTACGTGAAGCTGCATGGGCTGCCATACAAACTACCATAGACTCAGTGGTTTAACAACAGAAATTTATTTTCTCACAGTTTTGGAGGCTGGAAAATCCAAGGTCAGGATGCTAGCATGGTTCTTGGTGAGGAGAACTCTCTTCCTGCTTTCCAACAGCTGTTTTCTGCTGTGTCCTCACATGGCAGCTCTTACAAGGACACTAATCCTATTGGATGAGGGCCCCATCCTTATGACCTCAATTAACCTTAATCACTTTCTTACTCCAAATACTTTGACACTGGGGGTTAGGTCTTCAACATATGAAGCCATACCAGTTGTTATTATTTTGTTACTATTACTATTATGCCACTGATAGGAAATTACCACCCTAGTGTATTATTCATACCACACACACACACAAATGGACAGCAATGACTATAAATAATTTATGATATTTCTATTTCCATAATAATTGGATTAGTCCACATATTTCAACAGGGAATATATTGCTTTTTGCTACATTCAAATTATTTTTGTTTTTCTTTTTCAACTTATGACTATACCTGCCCCCAAACTCATTCTCTAGACCACTTCGGAACCAAAAATCCTGAAGTTAACTACCTTGGAAATATGATAAATTTAGTTTATTCAATATGAAACATTTAGATATAATTGTACATTTTGTCTAGGATCTTGATGTGAAGCAGTGATGCCAATCATCTTAGCGATTCTAAAATGTAAGCGAAGTCAGTGAAAATCGGAGTGAGCTAGAAACCTCATTCTATTTACACTCACCTAGGAGTGTTCTGAGAATCCATTAAAGGGCCCTGGATCCAGACTTGAGGAGACAGATGTGTAATCTTGGAGAGATGATAAGCGCTTATTTGAATTTTGGGGGTGGGAAGAGACATTCTCTGTTCCTTTCCAATTTGCCCTCTCAGGGTTATAAAAGTCTTGATTGATGATTCCAGAAGAAGAAGCCTCAGGCATCTCCTGGTCTAGGTATGCTTCCAAGGTCTGAATCAAATGGGATGTTCCCATGACCTTGTCCTCCAACTTCCTGCCAGCATCACTGGGTTCTAGGGGAGGATACACTCCGATGATTTGGATGAGAATAATTTCTGCTATAAATTCTGAGAGAGTCAAATCCCAAGCAAAGATTTTAAATCATCTACATTTAATGACAAAGCAATCACCACACAGTTTTAGATTCTTAGCTTACTCTGAATATAAGGAACCAGCCATCTGTTATTTTCAGAAGTTAGTTTCTAAGCCATTAAGAAGAACATTTAAGCCTAATAGCATGGCATAACCCTGTGGTAAATGGACCTGATCCACTGAAAGCTCCCCTCCTGGAAAAAAAAAAAAAAAAAAAAAATCAATGTCCTGTGAAAGCTATTGATGTGTGGGCACTTCTCACTCCCCACCTCACAGTGATTTGCTGAGGGAAATAGTGTAGAAACATCTGGAAGGCGAGTTGCTGGCCATTCATTCAACCCATGTTGGTGGAGACTTACTATGTGTCAGACGAGGTGCTGGGAATAAAGCCATGGAAGACAGAAGAGTTTTGTTCTCTGGAGCTCCCCTTCCAGCAGAGAGAGGCAGGCGGAACGCTCTCAAGTGAGCCAAGAAATCCCCAAGATTAAGGCAAACATAAAGAAAACACAGCAGTGTTTTGTCAGAGAGGGGTCGGGCTTCTTTAGACCGTCTAAACAGGAACTGCGTCTCCAAGGAGGCGACATCTGAGCTGAGACTTGACAGCAAAGAAGCAGCAATCCTGTCAAACCCTCCGAACATACTGAGCAGAAGTTACAGCGAACGTGAAGTCCCTTTTTTTGAGAATAAGCTTGTTTGAGGAAGAAGAGGAGGTCATGTGTCTAGAGCAGAAGGAACAGAGGGGAGAGGAATAAGAGACCAGGTTGGAGAAGCACAGGGACACTCGATTTAACAAGTATTTCGTGAGTCCTTGGTCCGTACCTGGCTCTCAGAGCCACACAGAAAGAATCTCTCAGAAAGAATCTCTGCAGGCAATGTCGGGTCAGGCTGACCGACTCTCCTCAGTTTGCCTGGGACTTTGTGGTTTTAAAATTAAGTTGCATGTCTTGGAACCCCCTCTCTTCCAGACCAAACAAGAAGACCGGTCCCTTGATGTTTGGCCTTTTCCATGGCCAGACACCCTGTGGTACAGGCTTTAATCCTCAGACCACCATGAGGTATGATGTCTTTTGTTGCTCCCACACAGATGAGGAAGCTGAGAGAGCCAATGATTTCTTCCAGGTCGTACAGCAAGGATGTGATGGAACCAGGACCACACCCTGTTCCTTTGACTCCAAACACGAAGCCCTTAGCCAATAACTGGATCTCACCATCTTCTATGCAACAAAAACAGTCACCAGGGTGTTCAAATGGTCCGTGGTCTTTCTGAAGAGCCTTGTGGTGGGAGTTTCTGTCTCACTGTACAGGGGTATCTGCTCTCGGCTCTCTGTTGCATTTGGGCATCTGTATCTTACTTCGCATTTGCTACAGCTTCGGCAGCCGGGGTCTGACGGAAATAATCAGAGTGGGTGGTGGCAGGAGAGCTTCTTGGGGTGACTCAGTGTTGGATGTTTCCTTTCTCCAAGGAATTCTGCCCTCAGGAGGCTTTCGGGACCGGGGCATCTTCTGTCTTCTTGCTCGTTTCTAAGGGGTATATTGATACTGATGAGAAATGACAGTTCTCTGCTTATCGCTTTCTCCATCAAACTGCAACTTTTTCCAAGAACTTTTTCACTCGGGAACAATCTATCACTTTTACAAATCAGAAGTTGTAAACATATATTCAGCGGGTCAAATGTGACCTACGGGGGTGCTGGTGTTGTGGCTGTTTTCAAATTTCTATGCGAGAAATAGAAGACTTGACAGCACTGGGGCTGTAATCCTACGTAGTATCTTGGTTGCGTCTGAGCAGCTGTTGCCCCTTTGGACAGGGCATGTGACAATTCACCACAATCCTCCCCGCCACTCCAATTTTCTCCCCAACATCAAAGCCAGCGTTGCTTGAACTGGTGTTTTTCTTACACTAGAGAAATATTTCTTACATTGCTTTCCCAACTGGGGAAATAAGGTCTCTATGTGATTATTCTTACCCCTGCCCTCTGTCATGTTTTTATTTCATCTGTCTGGCCCCTATAGTAATTTCAGTTCAAGTAAATTATGGAGAAAAGGCTTTTGCTTTACAGATATTTTGTTATCTGTAATTTACCTAGCATTTTCTAGAATTTTGGATTTTACAGCTTCATGCTTCCAAACTGTAGGAACCAAGCGGGATTGCAAAAATTTCTCTTCAGCATGAAAGATGTACGTTCAAAACTTAAAACACTTATCTTCTCTCTCCACTGTTTTATAAACGAAAGAACAGTTTCACACCAGAAACTAAGGTAGACATAACCATGAAAAAAAGAATAGGCATCCCCAAGAAAAGAGTCACATGTGGTTTTAAGTGGGAGAAACCCTCTCAAAGCTGGCTTAAGCACAGAAGGGTTTCAGGAACAGCTAGATCCAGAGGCATATGTGAGGCCATCAGCACCTGGGTTCTTTCTCCCTCTATCTCTCTTCATCTCTCAGCTCTGCTTTTCTCTCTTTTGGCTTCCTTTTCAAGCAGATTTTTCCTGGAAATGGCACTGGCTCTGGAAGCTCCAGGTTTTTATCTTCACAGTTTGGAATCCAATGGAGAGTGGACAGACCTCTCTCTCGGTTGATTTAGCAAGGTTCTGAGATTAGCTCAGTTTTTATCTGCGTTCAGCCATCCTGAACCAATCACAGCAGCCCAATCACGTGCACAACTCTGATTGACCAGGCCTGAGTCCTGTGCCTTTGTCCAGGGGCGGAATTAATTTGTCTGAGCCACGGTGAATAAAGGAGAGAAAAGGGTGGTTCTCCAAGGAAAACCCAAGTTCTAGTCCCAGAAGAAGGAGAGAAGAATGCTTGCTAGGAAAGCATAAATAAATTTTTAGATAAACAAATAATATCTTCTACTGTGACCTTGAACCATCATAAGTATTTGTACCTTTTTCTTATTTTTTTTTTTCAATTTCACTCAGGACTCATGAACACGTAGACCCCATCCAACACTTGAACACCTCTGTTCTGACATACTTATTTCCCTGCTATTGAGCGTTGTCTGACATCTCCTAAACATGAATTTTGTTTGAACTTGCCGTAGAGGCCAGACTCACCAGAGAAGGCGATCACATCCCCAGAGCCGGAGCCGGCAGGAGCAGACCAGAAGGGCAAAGAGAGCTCCTCCAAGGACAAGAAGGTGGCGGCTGAGGGGAACAAGCAGAAGAGCAACAAGCAGGAAGCCAAAGAACTGGTCCAGTGTGTGGAACCAGCTGCGGCGGAGGCGAACTCGGTGCAGAATGGGGACAAGTCCCAAAAGAGACAGGAGAAGCGGCGACAGTCCCTCGGGGGCTTCTTTAAGGGCCTGGTAGGTGGATCATTCATCACCTCTTTCTAGGCTCTTGGGCCAGGAGTGTGGTTCCCGCCTTCAAGGTGGGACTGGCCTGGACCTTTGTCAAAGAAATATGGCAGGAGCACCTGCCGTATGCCAGGCGCTGCGCTGGGCTCAGAGAGCAGGCTGGACAGAGGCATCACCGTTCAGCTGGATGCTCCGGTGCCGACGGCTGGGGGCAGGGATACTGAGCAGGTGAAGAGCAGGGAGGCAGAAGGCAGGTACAGGGGAGCCTGAGTGTTAGGGTGTGACCCTCCCCCCCGGGGGGTTGAAAGGAGTGTCAAGGAAGGCTTCTCGGTGGAGATGACCTCTAAGATGGGGCCTCAGATCAGCCTGTGGAGGAGGAAGAAAGGGGAGGCCTGAAGAACCAGTGTGTTCCAGGCAATGGAGAGACCGCAGAGAAGTGAAATTCAGTCTTGCCAGAAGAAGGCATAGGAGGACAGAGGCAAGGTGGCAGGAACAGGTGGTGATAAGGAGCATCAGGATTCACCTGTGGCCAAAGGGAGCCTCGAAATGTTTAAATCAGGAAACTGCTCTGAACCTGACCTTGGGTGGTGGGTATACGGAGGTGACTAAAAATTAGCTCCTTCCCTCCAGAGAGGCCTAGTCCAGGGTGAGCGGAGGCCAGACCTTCCATAATTAATTAACCTCTGGGTTATTTTGTGTGTGTCTGTTTGGTTCTTCTCTGTCTCCTCCCCTAGACTGGAGGGCAGCGACCACACTGTCATGGGCAGACGTGCTGTCCTCCCCAGCATGGTGGCTAGAGCATAGTAGACACCCGAGAAGGGTTTGTTGAATGAACGAAGGAATGGGTGGAGAAAATATGGCACTAGTAAATGTTTTCTTATATTTGGGATAATGTAAATCCTGGCAAATGAGGAGAGTCTGAAGGTCATCAATCAAAAGATAAGCAAGGTGGTCAAGCATCCACTAGGAGGAGAAACAGGTGAAGTCATACCTAGGACTCACGGGAATGTGGCTTGAGCCCATGGGGCAGGACAAGGAAATCACACTGACAGTAGACATGGGGCTGGAGTTAACAGGGGTTAACCTTCAGGTTGTGATAATGACGGGAGAGGTACCTGAAGCAAACTGCCTTAAAGCGATTGATCATTCCTGATTGTGCCGGTTGCTGAACATCTATAGGTATTGGTGACCTCTGATCGATGGAGGTGGGGGAGTACGATGGTTCCCCTGGGCCCAAGTTTGGTCTCCAAACAGCATCTGTGGGAACCTGTTAGTAATGCAGACTCTCAGGCCCCATGCTTATTTTATGGATGAATGTCATCATATTTCCCTCTGGCCAGTGTGTCTGGGTATGGGTACAGAATCTCAGTGTGAGATAGTGCTAGAAGTCATGGTTTGAGGCTGTTTGGAAATGGGAAGCCCTGGTACGGAGCCCCTCTCCTACTCCCAACCCTCTGGTGTAAAGGCCTCTCCGGTTCTTAAGAGGTGATGAAGACTGGAGACCGACCATCAAAGCGGAGGGGAGGGGGGAGCTAAAAGACTGATCATGCTTTGAGTGGTTTTGCCAGAAAACTTGTCTCCATTCTCTGCTCCAGTTTCTTGGAGAGGAGTGTAAAAACCCTTATCACACTTTTCTAGACATTTCCAAACTGACTACACATTTTTTTCTGCCCAAAGTTCTGGTTGAACCATTCCCTGCCAAGCCACAGTGCCCGGGGTGGCGTACCGCGTGGGGAGGGTGCTGTTTTGGAAAGATTCTGAGCTCACGGGCCCAGTCAGTTCCTCACTTTCTTGGTGGTTTTTGGTTGTTTTTTGGGTTTTATTTTATTTTATTTTTTGGTCAGAGGCTCATGGAGTGTTCTCTGCATATCTCCTTACACACAAAATCCCTGGGTCTAACAGGATGGATCTCATCCAGTAGTTCTGAACCTGTGATTTTCTACACAGGGGACATTTGGCAATGTCCAGAGACCATTTTGATGGTCACCACTGGGAATAGGTGCTATTGGGATGTTGTGGGTAGAGACCACGGATGTTGCTAAATGTCCCACGGTGCACAGAACAGCCATGGGGCTGGAGTTAACCTTCAGGTTGTGATAGAGATGGGGCAGGTACAGGAAGCAAACTACCCGAAACCAATTGATCATTCCTGATTGTCCCGGTCCCTGAATATCTGTGGGTGTTGGTGATCTCTGATCGATGGAGGTGGGAGAGCCCAAGTGTCAGGGGGCTAGAGCTGAGAAGCCCAGAGATGGCCAAACAGCACATAGGACAGTTGGAAAGAACAGAGCAGTGCCCGGGAGCCTGTGCTGTGAAGTCGGACATCTTCACTGGAGTCCTAGACCTACCACTTCCTAGCTATGTGGCCTTGGGTTAGTCACTTAACCCCATCCGAGCCTTGAGTTTCCCCTGTGCAAAGCTGAAGTGATAATGACAGCAACCACTGTAGGGTTCCTGGGGAATCAGATGCATGTGTGCCCTAAGGGGTCCAGCACCTGACATGAAGCAGGAGTTCCATAGTGGACACTATCATTTCCCCGGCAAATACGCTGGACCTTGTGTGTGGACCGGAGCCTGACCCCCTGCAAAGGTGGGACATCGGCCCACATTGCTCTCACCTTAAACCCACCGTGGGACTCCTTTGCCTGCAATTCATTCTCCCTCCGTCCACATGCCGCCTCCCTCTCTCCTTGCCCAAGGCCAGCTGCCCCAGTCAGTTCCCAAATCCACTGCCTGCCGATCCCTGCTTGATCTTTGCCCTGCGGGTGAGATCTGTCTGCTCTGCTCCTCCCCCCCCGCCTCCCCCCCGCCTTCGTCCTGCTGCCTGGATTCGAACAGGGAGCAGCCTCCTTGGCATTTCATGCAGCGTCTGAAAAGAACTGGAAGGAAGCCTTTAGAACTCATCAAGTGCCACTGTTTGCAAGCATTTGGTTTTTGAGCAGAGGGACTCGGTTGACAAAGGAAACGTCAGAACCTTCGCGGGTGTATGTGCATGTGCGTATGTGTGCACACACACATAAATGTGTCTATAGAAACATATCTACTTGATCAACACGGAGCTCTGATTGGAGGGGGAGTAGGCCCCCTCCCCCCATCTTGCCCAAGAGCCTCCCACTTGATGGCGCTCTCATCTCTCGCACTGTCGCGGGTCCCCGACGCCTTCACGTAGTGCTAGGATTCCGTGCAGGTCAATCTGCAGGTTTTACAGGGGAGCCAACGGAGATTGGAGAGAAGATAGGGCCTATTCTTTATTCTCCCAGAGTTCCCTACCTATCATTTTTGGCCCTCTCCACTGGGCACAGGCTGAACCGAGGCTGGGAACAATTAGCTCAGTTATTCCACCCAGGGCTTGGAAAGAGTGGACAGGACCCAGGCTGGAGCCTGGAGAGCAGGTGGTCTGAGGTCCAGATTCCAAGTCAGGGGGGCCCGTGCAACGGTACATAAGCCAGTCCTGACTTATCTTAGAGCCTGTTTCCCCATCTGTAGAACTGGGTTAATCATCACTGCCCGCCTCACTGGGCTGGCGAGAGGACCAGATGAGGGTGGGTTTGGCTTGGCTGGTTGTATCCTGTGAAGTGCAGGCCTGAGACAGCGGGCAAGACAAAGGTGACGTGAATGCCTCTGATCCCCAAAGTCCATGCCTCGTGGGGCCAGAGGGGGGACTCACTTTACCTTGGAGCATCCCTCGGAGATAAGTTGTATCTCCTCCATTGGAAAGATGAAGAAACTGATTTTAAAGAGTGAAGTAATTCCTCCAAGTTGTCACAGAGCTAGAAAGTGAAAGAACTGGGCAATGCACTCCAACATCTGGCTGGAAATCATTCTTTTATCCACCAGTCATACAAAGGGTATATTTATTTGGCACGAGACCTGGCACGGAGTAAGTGCAAAATAAATGGCAGTCATTGCTCTTGATATTTCAGACTTTCATTAGGGTGCAACTTCTTTATATTTTTCTCCAGGGACCAAAGCGGATGTTGGACGCCCAAGTGCAAACAGACCCTGTATCCATCGGACCAGTTGGCAAATCCAAGTAAACAAATCACTACAGTTCCCACCAAGTTATCCTGCCAGCAAGATGTCTTCTCCCTACTCCATTTCCTCCCCGAGCCCACTCCATGTACATAGTTTTCTTCTAACACCATCAAATGAAATTCTGCCTACAAATTAAGCCTGAGCTGTTGTATATCAAGGTGTATTATTTACGTCTCTGGTCCAATCTTTTCCAGTAAATAGCTGTCAAGATGGTTTAGCAGGTGAACCAGTCAGGTGGGAAGACCTTGATGGTTGCCAGGCAGCGGGTAGAGAGGGTGGGGGAATGCATTCTGGGTAAGTTATGAAAAATGGCAGTGGCAAGTAAGTTGCAGAAGAAGAATGCCTGTTGGAAGGAAGTAAGCTTTGTAGGAAATACACGCTCATCCTCTAAACTCGAAGAGGAGAGACAAAAATCTGTTTAGGTTCACATTTCGAGGAAGGATAGCATGGGCTCCGTGGGGGAGGTTGCCAATTTCCTGGAATGGAATGTGTGGGGAATGAAAAGGGAATGAAGAAGAGTTGCTTTTCGAATAGGGTCCTTGAAAGTTATTGATGAGAAGGGAAAAGATTGACCGCAGAGGGTTTGAAATGATTTGGGAAAACAATTGCTTTTTGAAGCTCAGTGACATTACAACTTCAAAACAAACAAACAAACAAACAAACAAACAAAAAAACAGAATAAATGAAGTTGCAAGTTTACTTTGCAACACAAGGGGGCACTGAGGTCTCCATTTTAATCCTGCATCCTGTAGCCCTAACAAAGATTTGGTTTCTGCAATCTTACATTATTAATGCTTCTCAGATGGCTGAGGGGCTTGCTTCATCTGTTCTGTCTGACACTTATCTCAAGTCTGTCTGTAATTTCCTAATGTTCTCAGGATGTTTTCTGATAAAACCCTCCCCATAACCCCAGTTAATAAAAATTTTTGGAAGATTATTCAAATACCGGACGTTTTTTTAATACGTGTACAGAGGAGTAAATAGGACCATGAGTCTATTAAAATGTAATTCAAAGTAGCATATGATTGACTGATATCATGTATACTGTATTTTTCTTTTTCTGATTTAATAAAAAAAATACATTTACATCTAAAGCATCTTTTAATTTTCAACTTTTAAAGCAGGTCTCTTGTATTCTCTGAGACACCTTTATCCTCCACAGGATAAAATCAGTCTTCTTCCTCCATCTTGTCTTCCCTCCCGATGCTCCTAGATTTCCTTGTGTATGGGCACATGCACATACAAATGTGTGCACACATATATTTGCATATACACACATGCACTTATATAAAAGTACTGTCTTAGCCCAGGCTGCCTAGAGCAGAGCCTGAGACAGGGATTCAGGAGCATGTGATATGCGGAGGGAGGCCCTTGGGTGGAAAGAGGAAGTGAACAACAGGGCAAGGAGGGAGCTGAGCAAGGATTGGTCTCAGCTGGAGTTGAGTTTCATCCTGATCCCCTAGGGAGTGCTGGAGCATGAATTGCACCTTACAGTTGGTTCTACCTTGAGCCAAAGGGAGCTGGCGTTTGTACCCTTGTTGATGAGTCCCGGCCCACCCTAGGAGGTGGTGGGACAGGTAAGGTGCTCCCACTGAGCTGGGAAGTGGGAAGCTAGAGGATGTGTGCCTGGGCAATGTCCACTAAGATAGGCACATGATAAGTAGATACGTATTTATACCCACGTAGGAACATGTCCATACATATAAACATACTTTACATGGAGAAATGTATGTAGACATTCATACTTATATATTACTTAAAAGAACAAATGCATGTATGCATTCATATTCATACACATACAGATAGAACCGCACATACACACTGGCTTGTAAAAATCCATTACACAATGATCTGAAGTAAACATTGATTATACTCTTCTGACAAGTCTGCACGTTAGGCAAATAAAACCATGGCTTTGGCAAAAGAAAAAATGGCATTTGGAAAACGTGTTCAGGAAAAAGATGCTATCTCCCAGATGTGGGGGGCCCGTTGCTGTGGGGGACTGCTAGCTCCCAGCTTGGATGGCCGAATGCTAGGTTTCAAATAACGATCAGAGGTCCTTTCCTTAGCTTCTTCAGACCTGCTGCTCAAACCTGGAAATCAGTGTCTGTGGCTCACCCAGTTGAGAATGACCTCATGGCATTTCGAGTCTGAATGCTTAACTTGGCACAAATCAGGAAAAAGCCCTTTGGGGAAGCTTACTGGTAGGGTGACTTTCCTCCACCAACACCATCATGGAACATGGGCCGATTCAAGAAAACCAGGCAGCTGCTTATTCCTTTGTCCCCGAACACCAGGGGGGTCGCCTTGTGTGACCTTTGGTGAGCTCTGGGCCATACTAGTCCATTGAGGAAGGTGACAGTTTCATTTGCAAGTTTCACCTCACTGGGCACAGGGGCTTTTGGCCCTGATGAGAAATGCCCCCGGGCAGGACTGAGTCACTAAATGCAGAAGGAGCCCTCCCATCCCCCACCTTCCCAGAAAAAAAAAATTTAAAAATTTTTTTCAATGACGTTTTTTGCTGAGAACCTCTCTGCACAGCCAACACTTTCTGTAACGGTTTCATATTGCCCTGGCCGAAAAAGAGAGCAAGCTTTTAACGAAATTGCTTGGGTTTGTTGTTGTTGTTGTTGTTATTTTTAAAGGCAAGAAAACTTAAGCCAGAGCAGACTTAGACAATGACTTATCTGGGGGATTCGAAAGCTAGTTGTAGCCTCAGAACTGCGATAAAACCCCATCTTTGAGTTTTGAGGGTTTGTTTTTGTTTGTTTGATTTTGTTTCATTTTTTAGCTGGGAGCTCATTCCTGATGCCTATACAGTCAATACTAATTTCCATGCCACCCGCTGAACTCCTGTAAAAAAAAACAAAAACAAAAAAAGAGCAGAAACTCCCCCAAGTGAGCTCTGGAAGGCTCTTGAGTCTCAAAAGCCTTGAGGGACTGAAGTTCCTCCAAATATGGAGCCCAGAAAGGCCACTTGGATGGCAAAGCTGTGTATAACATCGAAACACAAAACACGTCTTGCAGCTGAAAGGGCATTATGGCCTGGGGGGGGGGTGCCTAGGGGCCTCGTTAAAAATTTACAAACTCATTTACTCATTTACTTTTTTATTTTTAGGTGCACAGGGAAGTGTGTCTTCTCCCGTGTCAAGAAGTGGCCCTTCCAAGAATTGAGCTTTTGAGCTGAACCGGCTGCCCCAGGGGGAAAAACAAAAACAAAAACGCAGCTTTCCAGTTCCAGCGGATGGTGACTTTTTGACTGATATCCATAAAAGAATTCATTCAAAAGCGCTCTTGTTCTCGGCAGCCCGTGAGGTCCCTCGTGAATTCATCATCTAGGGAAGGGGAGGCATACCTCCAGAAATGCCCAAAAGGGAGGGAAAAGAGAAAGAAAGTTAAGTTCTGTGGGTTTTGTTGCATCCTCCTGCTCTTTAAGCAAATTGTCCGGGATTTTTACACACACACACACACACACACACACACACACACACTTGAGCTGAAGCTGGACTGCCCTTATTTGCTTGCAAACGGTCCAGATGCAATGGGGCCCCATTAAATTAGACTCCATGAGCCTGGAATCTGTGTCCTGCTGACTCCTTCATAGTGCCTGCCCCCAGAAGGGAGCTCATTTCCACATCCAGGGCCTGACAAATGTCATTTCTTATGTCAAACACTCCCACGTGGATCTTAAATGCTAAGCGGGATCTTAAACCCTCAGCTAGACTTCCAGCTTTAAAGAAAATTCTGGAAAGGAAAATGATTTCAGTGATCAACTCACCCAAGTTGCAGGCACAGGGCATGCGCTTTGCGGAATGGTAAGGAAGGTAAGGGTTGGTTTTAACCATCATCCCAATGTCCCTTTTGAAGCCTTCTTAAAAAGCGGGTCGCATGGCGAGTAGAAATGAGGCTCCTCTGCAGTCTAGATCTTCCTCACTCCATCAGTGAACACACAGTGACCCTGGCCCACTGGAAATTACGGGCTCCCTTAGGGAGAAAAGAAATTACTTACTGAGCAGCAAATTCTGTAAATTTGTAATTCAGATCTTAGGGCTGGCCTGAGAGCCGGTTGGGATCCAACCCTTTGCATAAATCGGTGTTCTGGAGAGTTTAACCCTTGCGGCTCTGTTTCCTTTCCCCAGAAAGCTGCTCCTTTTAGCCTCTCCATCCCCTGGCCCCTTTAACTTGCCATAGCAGACAGAGCATCCCCTTTGCGATTTCACAGAAGTAAGGTTAACTATAATAAAGCCTCACATTCTCGCACTTTGCAGTTTATAGAATGCTTTCTGAATACATCATCTAATTTAAAGCTGTATACCTCTAACTGAACTTAATTGCCATCTTTATTATATTTTATTATGAGGGCACTGGCATGCACCTGTATGCCTTTTTTTTCCCTCTCTCTCCAAAGGAGCACTTCTTGACAAAATGGCCCCCAGCTGCTAGAAGGAGCTCATTGCTTACGTAATTGACTCTCGCTGAAGGATGTTTTTGTTGAAATCTGGCCACATGGGGGAGTTTTAGGACCTAGGGCGCTACCATCTCCAGTCAAGCCCTTTTCCCTCACTCCCTAACCAGGAGGTTGGGCCAAAAAAGTTCTTAAGAATGTGTTGATTAGCTTCTAGAAAGCAGTCAGATTTAATGAAGAGAACTAGAACAAGAGGGGGACAGCCTGGGCAAGTCAACTGCCTTCCACGATTCCCAGTCCACCAAACCAAGGTAAAGTTGGTTGGTTTATTCTTCCATTCTTACCAGCTTAGTCTTGGAGGAAGCTTAAGGAAGGGTAGTGTGATTGTAAACCGTTTAGGTTGGTGTCACTGCAAAGCAGTTAGGTTCCCCTCACCAGCTCTTCATGCTCCACAACCCAGCCTTACCTCTCATGTCTCTGTACCCAACTAGCAGGCAAGCGACTTAACCTCTCAGTTTTCTCCCTAAACAATGCGACTGGAATAGTGCCTACTTTGTGGAGCTGGTGGCTGGTGCATCATAAGCACTTAGTAAAGGA